CATGATCAATAAGACAATGCATTCTTAATGTAAAACCAAGTAATTTCTGGCAAGACACATTTAAAAGAAGGCAGCTGCGGGATAAATGAGGTCCATTCAACTGTTGATCTTGGTGCAAATAAGATGATGTTGCCATCACCCTTCTGTTAGCAAGCAAAGCAACAATCAGAAGCAAAGCCTTATACAAATTCCTCACAGAGTCTTTGTTTGCTGGCAGGAGGAGGCTAGAAACATTGTCCAGTTTCTGCCCTGATTGGCAAGTGAATGGATCTCATTGCATAATTCTCAAGGAGTGACTTGAGAAACTGCAAGTCACTTCTGGTGTGAGAGAATTGGCCGTCTGTAAGGACGTTGTCCAGAGGACATTGCCTGGATGTTTTGATGTTTTACCATCCTTGTGAAAGGCTTCTCTCATGTCCCCGCATGAGGAGCTGGAGCTGATAGAGGGAGCTCATCCGCGCTCTCCCCGGATTTGAAACTGTAACCTGTCGGTCTTCAGTCTTGTCGGCACAAGGATTTAACTCACTGCGCCACCGGGGGCTCCTAATGTAGTTGCATGAAGTAGTTGCTGGATGTAAAGGTGGCATCCAAATCTTTCCAAAACTTTCTGATAGGTCACCTTCTGAAAAGTAGCCTTTTTGATATTTAGCTTCAGTAATCACCTTACTTGTCACATCATTTTAGCAAGAGTGATGTCTATCGTAATCATTTTAGCCCTCAACTTCTCAAGACAATAATAGGTCAATAGGTGTGAAGCCATAAAAGTAAATGAAAAACATTAGCAAGCTATAGTGTCTGGTGGCTTCCATTTGGCGTTGGAGGTTTTAATATGAACTTCGTAAGAGCTTTCTTTTGTGCTGTTTTTCTATTGTTTGGCCAGTTTGTTCCTCTGCAACAGAGCCTACTTTTCCCCATGCTCCAAAAGTTCTGTTCTCCCAAATTTGGTAGTAAGGGACTGAGTTTAGATCTTGTCTGTGTGTGCATGTGTATGTCTATTACTTGTTTGTTGATTCACAATGCTCCCATGAATTTCACAGGATTTTACTAGGCAAGCAATGCTCAGAGGTGGTTTTGCCATTGACTTCTTCTGATTATACATACTGGACCTAGTTTAGATTTTTTCCCTCATCCACATCCTAATCATGCCTGACCATACCTAGGTGAGCATGCATTTATATTAGGAGAATGTTTGTGACTAAGCCTTCGGGTGTCTTGTTTACTTGTAATGACCTTGTAAATTCCATTGGATTTCCTATTAACTTTCAAGATCAGACAGGATCTGGAGCCTTCAAGGTGTTTAAACCTGAGGCAGAAAAATCTTGTTTTTCTTCTAAATATAAGAGGCCAAGCTGACTTCTTTCGGTTGAAAAGAAGATATATGTTTGTGTCAAGATTGGCATCTGGTTGAATGTTCACTTCAGCCTATTCACCATGGAGCTTGAATGGTTGCTGACCATCTCATTGAGCATTTGCCTGGTCTTCATCTCTGCATGGACATGGAGGCACAAGAAGGGGAGATTTCCACCTGGGCCAATGCCCCTGCCCTTCTTTGGCAACCTGCTGCAACTGAACCTCAAGGATATTCCCAAGTCTTTCCTGGCGGTGAGTTTCGTCACCTCTGGCATGAGAAAAAGTGGGATTGGAGGATCTGCATGTTTAGTTTCTGAGACTTCCCGTCCTTTTACCATTTTGAATCTTAATAGAATGGCTTCACTATGAGAATACTTTGAGAAAAGTCCAGAGTTCAACCTGGCTAATGGATAAATTGGTTCTTCTGGAAAGCCCACAGATTGGCTTGAAGGGAATTCTTATCTCCCCCTTTCCTTATTTGCTGTGCAACATGTAGTATCCAAAGATACATGCCTTCTGAAAGCAAATGGTCCATATAAATTTTATGGTTCATCTCCACTGATGGCTCAGTCTTCCATTAATTTGTTCCAGCTTAATTTGTATGCAACACTGAATTCTGTCCTGGATCCTGTCCTATCAATGGACAACCCCAGATTCTACTATTATTAAGGAGAGGAGTAGGTAGTCTCAGAGCAAAATGAGGGCATCGCCCTCCCCCAGTATGTATCCTTCTCTGTCAAAGAGAATTTTCCTTCAATCCCCAGATGTTTAACATTGCAGCAATTTAAAGCTTTGGCTGAGACACGGAAGATTTTCTGTGTCTCCATTTTGAGACTACAGTAAGGTAAATGTTTTCCCCCGACATTAAGTCTAGTTGTGTCTGACTCTGGGAGTTGGTGCTCCTCTCCATTTCTAAGCCGAAGAGCCAGCGTTGTCCATAGATACCTCCAAGGTCATATGGCCAGCATGACTTCATGGAACACTGTTACCTTTTTGTCAGAGCAGTACCTATTGATCTACTCACATTTGCATGTCTTCAAACTGCTAGGTTGGCAGAAGCTGGTGCTAAGAGCAGGAGCTCACCCCACTCCCCGGATTCAAACTGGTGACTTTTCAGTTTGCAAGTTCAACAGCTCAATGGTTTAACCCACTGCACCACCAGTGGCTCCAAGACTACAGTACATCCTACATATTTGCAGGGATTACGGCGCTCATGAATCTGGGATAAACACAGATAATGTAACACATTTTTTAACTAGAGAAAAATCCTTTGTAGGAATCTGAAGGTCCTCCTATGCAACTTTATGGTTAACATCCACAAACTTAGAGATTCCTTGAGACTATGTTAATCAAATCCATAAAAGTTGAACCTAAAACTGTAAAAAGGAAAATGTCATTGTGGGGATTCTTATTTGGAGTACAAGGTTCTCATTCATTTTTTCCCCTTTCCGCCACTGGTTTTCTCCATCCACTTAGTCCATGTTGTGTGCGATTTATGGACATTTCCTCTCATTTCAGCCACACCTCTCATGTAGCATTTTTCTGTTGTCTTCCTTCTCTTGCAGCTGAGTCACAAATATGGGCCAGTATTCACATTGTACCTGGGCCCCCGAAGGGTTGTGGTTCTTTGTGGACTTGAGGCATTGAAGGAAGCTCTGGTGGACCATGGTGAACAGTTCTGTGGGAGGGGAAAGGTAGCTTCTGTTGAACGGACCTTCAAAGGTTTTGGTGAGTGTAATGGATCTAGTGCAATGGTTCTCAACCTGTGGGTCCCCAGAGGTTTTGACCTACAACTCCCAGAAATCCCAGCCACTTAACCAGCTATTAGGTTTTCTGGGAGTTGAAGGCCAAAACATCTTGGGACCCATAGGTTGAGAACCACTGATCTAGTGTGATTTCTTAATAAAGGCCAATATCATATATTGTGTGGATACAAGTATCTGTCATCACTGCAGGATTCACTATTGTGCAGTGATAATCCCAGTCCTATAGAGCAGAAAGAGGGAGGAGAAATTCCAGAGAAGTATCAGGTTGTGTTCTCAGAACCATATCAAGAATAAGAACATCTGCCCAAACCTTCTCGGATCTTCTGGAAGTCTAATGGATGATGTCATTGCACTGCAACTGACTTAAATGATCCACACATGTCCACTCATTCCACTATCATCATTTTCATCATCATTTATTTATTAGGGCCAGCACAGAAGATAATGCTAGTAATAGTGTGTCTCGGAAATGCTATCACAGTAAGTCTTAGGAAGATCTTGGATGTTATGAGTGGAAAAAAAGAATAATGAACCCTATAATGACATTTCCCCCAGAAAAATATTCCTATATATATATATATGGAATATTCAGATATATATCAGAATCTATCCCCTTAACAGATTACCAATCAAAAGGTGATGGAACATTATGACCAGAATAATTAGAAATTGTGGCCTGAACTTATAGGTAGATGCGGCCATTGAATTAAATACTAAATGTTAGATAAACATATAGGTGAATTCATTGGTGCAGTGGCTCTGCACTAACTTGGACTAAAAATAAGGGGCTTTGTTGTAGAACTCAGTGAGAGGGCCACTGTCATATCTCTGCCAACATTGCTTTACTGTTCCATCTGGGGAGGAACTCTCCTAGGGTGGGGGACGACCATAACCTTCACAGTGAACTCTACTAAATCTTCCTCCAGGAATTGCTTTGGCCAATGGGGAACGCTGGAAGAAGCTCCGTCACTTCTCTCTCGTCACATTGAAGAATTTTGGGATGGGGAAATGCTCCATTGAAGAGCGGATCCAAGAAGAAGCGCAGTACTTGCTGGAAAAATTCAGAAAATATGAAGGTTGTTGTTGATTCTGACTCTTTCTATTGAATGGAGAATATAATATTGACAACATTCCTAGCCAGGATTAAGAAAAGATGGCAAGCAATAATGATTCTTTCTTCTGTGCTTTTTCAGGTCTGCCCTTTGATCCCACCTTCCTTCTGTGCTGCACAACTTCCAACATTATTTGCTCCATTGTCTTTGGTAAACGTTTTGAGTATGAAGACAAGACCTTTATCTCCATGTTAAATCTGACAAACAAAATATTTCTTGAGTTAAGCAGCCCTTGGGCAAAGGTAAGAAGGCACAGCCGAAAGAAGGGACTATTCCATCCAAAAACCAAAGCAGAGTGACCGATAATGAAAAGATCTGCTTCTGTAGAGTATGATAAACACAATAGAGGTGTAAAGAATATTCACAACTATTATCATGCAAAAATGTGTAAGGCGCACTGGTGTGTGTGTTACAAAACAAATTTGTACATTGGCACTCCCTAGCTCAGTGGTTCTCAACCTGTGGGTCCCCAGGTATTTTGTCCTATAACTCCCAGAAATCCCAGCCAGTTTACCAGCTGTTAGGATTTCTGGGAGTTGAAGGTGAAAACATCTGGGGAACCATAGGTTGAGAACCACTGCGAGTAGCTGGTATCCCAATATGTTTTGAGTCCAGCTTGAATAGGTGACATGCCACCTCATCACAGTGGGACAAATTGCTCCTTTGCAGCACTTTGGGGCCTGCCGAAAGCCATCACATGACGCAGAGCAGACTCCATCCCATTTACCCTCTAAGCCAGGGGGCAGAATGCAGCCCTCCAAGGTCATTTACCCAGCCCTCACTCAAGGTCAACCTAAGTCTGAAACAACATGAAACACACAGCAACAACAACAACAATCCTATCTCATCAGCCAAAAGCAGGCCCACACTTCCCACTGAAATACTAATAAGTTTATATTTGTTGAAATTGTTCTTCATTTAAATTGTTGTATTGTTTTTAAGTGTTTTTTGCACTACAAATAAGATATGTGCAGTGTGTATAGGAATTCATTCATGGTTTTGTTTTTTTCAAATTATAATCTGGCCCTCCAATAGTTTGAGGGACCGTGACTTAACTTTCTGTTTAAAAAGTTTGAGGACTCCTGCTCTAAGCACTCAGGAAGCTCTGCATTTTTGGTCCTTTCTTCCATGTGATGGGGGAAAGGGCAACACAGTAATGTGTGTTGCTTCCCTTTCCTCCATCTGATGGGGACAAGGTACCAACACACTTTGTCCTGTTGTCCCCGTCTGATAGGGCAAGAAAGGAGGGTGTGTGGGGTGCCATGAGACACCCTGCATGCCTACCATTTTGTCAGCAACTGCTAGACATGTGTGAAGAGGTGCATAAACTCATAGAATCAAAGAACTTGAAGGCCAACAAGGGCCATCCAATTCAACCCTCTGCCAAGGAGAAACACACAATCAAAGCACTCCCATCAGATAGCTATCCAACCTCTGATTAGAAACCTTCAGTGGATTCTGAGGCAGCATTCTCCACTGTCAAACAGTTGTAGCTATCAGGAGGTTCTTCCTAATGTTTAGATGGAATCTCTGTAGCTTGAACGCATGGCTCAGTGTCCTAGACTTTAGAGCAGGCTTACCCCCTCCTCTATTGACATCCTTTTAAATATTTATACATGGCTCTCATGTCCCATCTCAGTCTTCTCTTTTTCAAGCTAAACATATCGATCTAGTTAAGGGCATGACTTCCAGAACTTTTACCATTTTGGCCCATCCCTGGACACATCAATATCCTTCTTGCTGGTCCCACCTGAAAAAGACCCTGAATTTATACAAAAATACTGTACTCTTAATCTCACTCAATGTGGAGAAACCTTTTCAGGGTCTTGGTTCTTGTATGCCAGAACAAAACAAGTATGGAACTTACATCCTGAGGAGAAGGAAAGGAACTTTTTGTCTGAGGCTGTTGCTCATCTGATTTCTAGTTTATTAATGTCATATTATTATTTTTCCTTTTCAATACAAATTATTGTTTAAAAAGAAAATCTGTTTCTGTATGCAGGAACAAAACAAGCAAGAGATTAACAGCCAAGGGGACTGGGAAATGAACTTTTTTTGGAACTGTTGATAATCATTATTTTTTCTTGCATTTATTTATCAAAATGTGTGAGTATCATTCTTATATGCCTGACAGACAAAAAAAACCAGTAACTGTTGTTCTTCATTCTAGCTGTATGATATGTATTCTGGCATCATGCAGTACTTTCCTGGGGGACACAACCGTCTCTACAACCTCCTGGATGAACTGAAAGCCTTCATTGCTGAGAGAATCAAAATTAATCAAGAGACCTTAGATCCCAAGAACCCAAGAGACTTTATTGATTGCTTCCTCATTGAGATGGAGAAGGTATTTTCTGACACTTAACAAAGAATTTTACCTGAGATCTGGAAACATGGGAGAAAGAAAAGGCAAATGGAAATACTCAAGTTTGATACAGATTTTCAGTGTACAATTGACCTCCACACATTCAATTAATATGTTTTCTTTGGGAATCTCTTGGTATTCCAGTGCAATTCTGCCGCAAGGTGACTAGATGCATGCTTGAGGGGCTAGAGATTCCTAGAGAGATGTTCCCTCCATTTTTAAAGGGTGTTTTAGAAGGTTTGTAGTTTTCCCACTTTCATATGGGTCCTGCACGTCTAATCCCTGTGAGAGTGAAAGGCTCACTTAAAGTTGGGGAGCAAGTTAGGGCAATAATTTTCAGCCTTTAGCATCCAGGCAAAACCTCACAGTTACTACCTCATCATATGGGGCTAGAATCGGCAACATACACCCTCAGTCATCCATGGAGCAAGAATCAGAGGCATATGCCAATCTACCCCCAGTCACCCATGGAGCGCCCATCAGACAATGTTGTGCTGGCTCCATGGGTGAAGGAGGGTGAAACTTGCATGCCGCTGCTACTGCAGCAACAAAGGAGGCTTCCCATGTTGCCATAATCTATGAGGGGAAGCTGCGTGCTCCACGCATATTCATGCTTCCCCCCATGGGATCGCCCTCCTGGCAATGTGGTCAATGCAAGGCATGGGTGCCAGATTCCAAAAGGCACAATTATACATAGGAGACCTCCAGCTACTATTGTGCAGCTAAGGAAAGGCATTGTGAAAGGAGGTACAGGATACCTTCTTGTACAACATTGTGTGTGTGTGTGTGTGTGTGTGTGTGTGTGTGTGTGTGTGTGTGCATGCATGCATGCATGCATGCTCCTGGTAGGTCATCAACAGTATTCTAGCTTTGGACTTCCCAAGACAGATAAGATAAGATAAGATTGAAAGATAAGATAAGATTGGAAGATAAGATAAGATGAGATATAATAACCTCTGTCGTACATTTGCTAGTTTTAGATCACTTCTTCCTTTGTTCTCTCGAAGGAAAAGGGAAACCCTTCCACTGAATTCACAATGAACAACTTGGTCTTCACAGCTCTCAACTTGTTCACAGCTGGAACAGACACTATTAGCTCCACCCTAAAATATGCACTCCTCTTGCTGATGAAATACCCAGAAGTGGAAGGTAGGAAGGGCAATTCAAGGGCAATGCAAATTTAACTCAAACCAAACCCTGCCTGATTTCTGATGTTGCAATAATTGTTTAACATGCATTGAAATATGAAGCATTAATGCCAGCAACAGACTGGGACAAATGCACCGAGTCTATTGTTTTCTAAACTTTACCAACAAAAGAACGGATATCTTCAGATTCCATGTCCCAAGGCAAGTTTCCAATGATATAGTATGACACCCAGTCTGCATTTAATTTCTCTGACAGATTGCTTTCCATGACATCCTTTTTTCAATATCTTTACAGAGAAAGTCCACCAAGAAATTGACAGTGTTGTTGGTTGCAATCGTGTCCCTGCTGTCAAGGACAGGATGAACATGCCCTACACCAATGCTGTCATCCATGAGACACAAAGGCTGATAGACATCTTTCCTGCAGGAGTGCCACACAAGGTTACTGCAGACACAGAGTTCCGGGGTTTCCTTCTGCCCAAGGTAGACACAAGTGGTTTGTATGAAGTGGGAGGGAGAGAAACAATGAGGATACTCGTGTGAGCATATATTTGAGATCTTCATCACCTCTTCACTGACAATTCACTTCTCTGTCTTATGTGTTTCCAGGACACTAATATCATTACCTTATTAGGTTCAGCTTTGCATGACCCTAAATATTTCAGTAACCCTGAGATATTCAACCCAGCACACTTCCTAGATGAAGAAGGACACTTCAAGAAGAATGATGCTTTTATGCCATTCTCTTCAGGTAGGACTCGTTGCCATGTTCTGTTCGCTTTTTACTGCTTAATAGCATGACTCTGAAGTCTGATTACAAACTTCTATCAAAACCAAAAGCAGTTCAATAGAAGGTCCTTCCTTATAAATGGTGATTGAGATACAATATTGTGGCCCTGGTGCCATTCTTGTGAATATGTAGTGTTATTAAAATGAAGTCATCATGGTTCTGCAACTCTCTGAGATCAGAAGTGACTCTCCCCCCCCCCCCCCCCCCCCCCCCCCCCCGGGGACTCTGTGAAAGATAGTTCAAGATCAGGGAATTCAGTTTTGCCAAGGACACCATGCTGGAATGATCCTATAATCCCCTATCTTCCCCCATGTGGGAACCTAATGCTTTTTACATGGCTCCATGGCCCCACATAGCAACGCCCCTGTGACCCAATCTAGTATCTGACCAATTTGGCTATTGATTTATTAATTGGATTCTTTTTTCATGAATGAAACTGCTGTTTTATGAATGGACTCTGACTTCTCAGTGCTCCCATTGACTCCAGTAGGCTCCCCATGGACTCTTATGGACTTCTCTAGGACTTTTATACACTTTCCCCAACCCTCATGAACTTTTACCAACTTTAAAGGACTTTTGGAACTCTCAGAGACCCTGTTGCCAAATCCCTTTGGATTTCCTCATGATTTTCACCAAACTTTATGGACTTTTGATGAACATTAGAGGGAGGGAGGGCTGACATGGCTCCCCTTTGACTTTGCATGATCCCTTATGAATTCCTTGTATGTTCCATTTCCCCATATCATTATATGTGAGTGTCTGCATTTTGAAAAATGAAGGGAAAAGCCACCTTCTTCATGAATCCAGCACCTCCTGGCTCCAGGTAGCTTTCCCAATTTCCTGAGCCAGTTAATCCCTACACAAAACTCATTCACATGAACAACCAAAATTCATTTGCATAAATGATTCTTATCTGATCAGACCTTGGAGGGCAAAAGGCTAGACCATCTGAAAAGATAAGACCTATGGACATTTGGATCACTCAACAAAAGGGTGTTTTCCTGTCTACGAAGAATTAGATTTCACCACAGACTTTCCCATTGTGTCAACCCAACTGGCCAAAACCAGCCTCAAACTTCATCAATGGATCCCATACCCTGGAAGGAAGAAAACAAAGAATCTAGCCCCTGAGCTAGACCAAGATGTTAATTCAAAAGATATCAACAATAATCTTGGCTCAGCTCAAGGGCTTAAGCTATCGCTGACTGCTTGGACAAACATTAGTCATTTTTAATCCTATCATTTTTTGCTTCTTTCATTGTTTCCCGCCTGGCACACCTCCTCCCTTCCCATTGACTGAGAAGCCAAAGCAGGGCTAGTGCCCTGATTGGATGAGGCACAGCTTTACTAACCATGCCTCCCAGCCAGTTGATGACTCCAACCAATCAGTGGGAAGCTGGCAAGGGGAGCAGGAGTGGAAAAATTGAATTTGACAGTTCTGTATTTCCTATAAAAACTGTAATATTTCCCCTTGTGAGTTATGTCGACTCCTTGGGCAAATGATTGTGGTCGTCATCCATTCCAGCTGGAATGAAATCAACAACTCAGTGGCTTCTTCTTCAACTTGGTGAGATTTATTGGGAAATGTAGGAAAAATCTTTCTGGGTGCTTTCCCTCTCGCCAGGTGCTCGAATATTCTTTTATGGGTCTGGCTGGCCTCTGCCTTGGCACGCCCCCCTAAATTCATGTTTGTCATCACCTCCATTATGAATCCTTGATTGATGTACAAAATCACAGCCTTGATCCATAGCTGTTGATGTTTTCCAGTTCATGCTGTACCATTTTACTGACATGTTAGCCTTTGTCTGATTTTTACTAAAAGGGAGTAGTTATGGTTCACGTTCCCTTCATTACAGTCAATGACCAGCTCAGTTATGGTTCTGTAACTCTAGATTCTGAATCTAGAATTATGATCTTCTTGACCAATCACTGTTGATGTCTTCCTACTCATACTGTACAACAGGTACCATGCTCTCTCGCCATTTTCCTGATCTGATGGCAATTGTCTGATTTTTCGTTCTGTCCTTAGGAAAACGTGCCTGTGTAGGAGAATCTATAGCCCGCATGGAGCTCTTCTTGTATTTCACCACCATCCTGCAAAGCTTCTCATTGAAATCCTCTCTGGCCCCAAAGGACATTGACGTCTCTCCCCAACTAAATGGCTTTTTAAACATTCCTCCAATCTTTCAGCTGTGTTTGATGCCACGCTAATCTTGCCATTTCCCATCTTGCGGATCAGGACACAAAGAGTCCTATTAGCATTGTTTCTAGTACATAATACATTATGCAATTGTTTGGGTGATGATGTCGAATAAAACGTATTTTATTGTAAACACAGTCTGCATTTGACATTGCTCTAGCCATGTGTATGCCCCTGCATAGAAAGGTTAAAAATGGTTAAGACAGTGGTTCTCAGCCTTCCTAATGTTGCGGCCTCTTAATACAGTTCTTCATATTCTGGTGACCCCCAACCATCAAATTATTTTTGTTGCTACTTCATAACTGTAATCTTTCTATTGTCATGAATCATAATGCAAATATCTGATATGCAGGATGTAGTTTCATTCACTGGACCAAATTTGGCACAAATCCCCAATATGCCCAAAATTGAATACTGGTGGTGGATTTTTTTTGGGGGGGTTGATTTTGTCAATTGGAAGTTGTAGTTGCTGGGATTTAGAGTTCACCTACAAACATACAGCATTCTGAATTCCATCAACGATGGAATCAACGATGGAATCAACGATGGAATTGAACCAAAGTTGGCACACAGAACTCCCATGGCCAACAGAAAACACTGGAAGGGTTTGGTGGGCATTGGCCTTGAGTTTTGGAATTGTAGTTCACCTACATCCAGAGAGCACTGTGGACCCAAATAATGATGGATATGGACCAAACTTGGCATCAATACAATATACCCAAAAGTGAACAATGGTGGAATTTCGGGGGGCGGGATCCTTGACATTTGGGAGTTGTAGTTTCAGGAATTTATAGTTCACCTACAATCACAGCAGGAGAAGGGCTTTTGGTGGGAGAATTCACCGTCTGTTTCCAAAAAGGAAGAGAAGGACAGATGGAGAGATCTTCAGCCTTCTCTGCCAAAGGGGTTCCTAAGACGATGTGTTTTCTGATGGTCTTTGGCAACCCCGTCTGAAACCCCCCTCACAGCCGCCCCCCACCAGGTTGAGAAACGCTGGTTTAAGGGGTCCCAGTGTTTAGCCATGTATTAGTTGAATTGGTTGACAACACTTTAACTGCCATGCTTCAATGCTAGGAAATTCTGGCTGCTGTTTTCAGGGAAGACATAAGCAGTCTTTGGCAGAGATACCTTTGGCAGAGATAACTAAAGACTTTGTAAAACTACAACCTACATTAGTCCATTGTGTCTCTGGAAAAATTGAAAAGTGTCTAGTATATTTTCTTTTGCAATGATAAATAAAATATCTGTGATGTGGTATTCAAACATGAAGACCTTAATGAAGATATCTGGGACTCTTTGTTTCTACACACTTTTTTTCAATTTTCCTGGGAAGAAGATGGCCTCAGGAAAAAAACTGTTTTTTTCCTCAATTTTTCTGGGTTTTTTCCAGGCTTTCCTATCTCTACCCACATCCAACCACTTCATCACATGCCCCAGTTCCGCAGTGGGTTAAACTCCTGTGTCAGCAGGACAGGCCGCAGGTTCAAATCCGGAGAGAGCACAGATGAGCTCCCGATATCAGCTCCAGCTCCCCATGTGGGGATATGAGAGAAGCCTCCCACAAGGATGGTAAAACATCTAAAACATCCGGGTGTCCCCTGGGCAACATCCTTGCACACGGCCAATTCTTTCACACCAGAAGCAACTTGCATAGAATCATAGAGTTGGAAGAGACCTCATGGGCCATCCAGTCCAACCCCCTGCCAAGAATATTGCATTCAAACCACCCCTGACAGATGGCCATCCAGCCTCTCCTTAAAAGATGGCCATCCAGCCTCTGCCTCCAAAGAAGTAGCCTCCACCACACTCCGGGGCAGAGAGTTCCACAGGTGAATGGCTCTCACAGTCAGGAAGTTCTTCCTAATGTTCTAATGGAATCTCTTTTCTTGTAGTTTGTAGCCATTGTTCTGGTGCCACAGCATAGAATCATAGAATCATAAAGTTGGAAGATACCTCGTGGGCCATGCAGTCCAACCCCCTGCCAAGAAGTAGGAAAATTGCATTCAAATCACCCCAAACAGATGGCCATCCAGCCTCTGCTTAAAAGCCACCAAAGAAGGGGCCTCTCTAACACGGTCTGACCATGGTTAGGTAATATGTGTTTGTATGAGGGGTGTGTGTTTGTGCAATTGCAGGGAGGGAGGAGTGGGAGCAAAAAACACAGAAGATGAGTGGGAAAGAGAGGAGGAATTTGATAAAGAAAGATAATACTGCAGCAAAGAAGGTTAAGAAAGAATGTGGAGCAGCGGAGAGAAAGAGAAGCCCTGAGGGAACATCAGGAGAGAGAAAGGCAAGGAAAAGGCGAAGGGCGAATTGTGGGTAAGGAGAGGTGGGGCCCAGGACCCAGCCAGTCAGAGCCCCCATCTCTTTGGCAATACTCCGAGGAAGTTCCCATCCCTTTCTTCACTTCCTTTCCTGCCTCTGACTCTCTCTTGCGCCCATCGCAGCTGAGTTGGCTGCAGGGTGAGGCTGTGGCACCAGAGTTTGAGCTGACCATCTCACCTCTTTCCCTGCACAAGTGAAAAATACAAGAGAAAATATAAGGTCAGTAAGGAAACCAGAGGATCCAAATATTGTAAAGAAAGAGGCCAAGTTGAGATCTTTGTTTCTGTGTCCATGTGTTTGTGTGTGCCTTTAAGTTGCCTATGGCATTTTGATGAATTTCACAGGGTTTCCTTAGGCAAGGAAAAATCAGGGGAGGTTTTGCCATCGAATACAACCTCCCACATCTAGATTTCTCCCTTCCAAATAGGGAAGTATTTGGATAGTATGTTTTTGTCATAGGTGTGTGTGTGTGAGTGTGAGAGAGTGTGACTTCAAATCTTCTGTCGACTTACAGCAGTGTTTCCCAACCTTCCTAATGCTGCAATCCCTAAATACAGTTCCTCATGTTGTGCTGAACCATAACCATAACATTATTTTCATTGCTACTTCATAACTGTAATTTTGCTACCGTTATGAATGTCATGTAAATATCTGATATGCAGGATGTATTTTCATTCACTGCACCAAATTTGGCACAAATACCTGATATGCCCAAATTTGAATGGGGGGGAGGAGAGATTGATTTTGTCGTTTGGGAGTTGTAGTTGTTCTGGAACAGCTGTTCCAGGAGCTCCAATTTTGTTTGCTTTGCATTTAATGTTTGTTATAGTCCTAAGTTTCAGGGACTCTGCAGATAGGTGGCTTCTTTTGGCTGCAATCATAGGGCAAGCCACCTGTCAATTATAGTTAGGTTCCCTGGTCCCGCCCTTTGGGTTTTTGGAGGGAATAGGAGCCTTTTTGAGTTCAGTCCACACAGAGAAGCCTTTCACACAGGACATAAAACCAAGAGCTCCTGTAGAAAGCTTCATCTTTTACGGCTTGGCCGGGGAGATATACAGCCTACAACTTGGCCGGGGATAAAAGGCCCCACAGCTTGGCTGAGGATTTTACAGCCTTACAGCTCCTTTGCTGAAGGACTTCAGCCAGCCATCACTGAAACCTGAACTCCTTCTTTTCCCCTGGAAGTCTACAAAGCTCTGCTTGGTAAGGGTCGCTCGCAGAAGCCAGACGCAGTTGGTACCGGGTGCAGGGGCTCCACGCCAACAGAGGCAAAGACAGACTGCCCAGATTAGAAGTTAAGGATTTCCCCATTAGTTACAGTTAAGAAGATAGTGCCTGTTCCCTGTGGACAAGATTGAAAGAGCCTATAGACTGTTAAGAAAGCTTTAAAGTACCTGTTTGTTTTCCTTAATAAAGAACTTTGTTGAACCTTTAAGCAATCTAAAGACTTTGTTTTGGGGAGGTCCAAGGGCCTTTAATCTGAGGCAGCCCCAGCATCCCGTTGGGCACACAGAATTTATGTCCTGTCTACAGTCTTATGCACAGGCCCAGCGTGCGACAGAACACAGTTGCTGGGATTTATAGTTCACCTACAACCAAAGAGCATTCTGAACTCCACCAATGATGGAATTGAATCAAACTTGGCACATAGAACTCCCAAGACCAACAGAAAATACTGGAAAGGTTTAGTGGGCATTGACTTTGAGTTTTGGAGTTGTAGTTCACTTACATCCAGAGGGCACTGTGGACTCAAACAATGATGGATCTTGTTCACTTACATCCAGAGAGCACTGTGGACTCAAACAATGATAGATCTTGACCAAACTTGGCACGAATACTCAATATGCCTAAATGTGAACACTGGTAGAGTTTGGGGGAAATAGACCGTGACATTTGGGAGTTGTAGTTGCTGGGATTTATAGTTCACCTACAATCAAAGAGCATTCTGAACCCCACCAAGAATAGAATTGGACCAAACATCCCACTGAACCCCATGCCTTGAAGAGACTCACTGACGCTAGCCTCCCTCCAGCTTCACATGCTCTCCCTTGCCCTGTGCATGCACACCTTGCTGCCATGCGTGAAGCACACCTGCTCTCCCCTCCCCACTTGGAGTTTCAGAAACAGCCCTCCCCAGGCTGGCCAATCACAGCAAAGGAGGGCTTTTGGTGGGAGGATTTGCTGTCTGTTTCCAAAGAGGAAGAGAAGGACAGCTGGAGAGGTCTTCGGTCCTCTCTGCCAAAGGGGTTCCTAAGACCATTTAGCGACCCCTCTGAAACCATGTTGCGACTCCTCAGGGGTCCCGACCCCCAGGTTGAGAAACACCGACTTACAGTGACCCCATGAATTCCATAGGATTTTATATTACCTTTCAAGTACAGACAGGATCTGAAACCTTCAGGGTGTTTAGACCTTAGGCAGAAAAAAATCCTTTGATTCTGAAACCCTCATTTTAAACTTTAAAAAGAGGCTATTCCTGCCACCCTAAAGGTAAACATGCCAAAAAACTAGTTTTTCTCATACATAAGAGGTCAATCTGACTGGTTTCAGTTGTAAGGAGACTTACATGTGTGCGTGTATCAAAACAGGTATCTAGTTGAATGACCAACCCATTCACTATGGAGCTCGAAGGGGTGCTGACCACCTTGTTGGGCATTTGCCTGGTCCTTGTTGCTGCATGGAAGTGGAAGCACAAAGAGGGGAGGTTTCCACCTGGGCCAATGCCTCTGCCTTTCTTTGGCAACTTACTGCAACTGAACCCCAAGGATCCCCTCAAGTCCCTCCTAGCGGTGAGTTGTGTTTTCTATTATGAGAGAAAATGGGATTGGAGGGGTCTGCATGCTCAGTTTCTGTGAGTTCCCATCTGTCAGTTTGCATCTTGATAGTATGGCTTCACTTTGAGAAAAGTCCTGGGTCCACCTGGTCCAGCATCTCATGGACAACTGGGTTCATCTGGGAAGTTCAAAACTATGGCTTGAAGGCAATTCTTCTCTCCCCCTTTTCTTATTTGTTCCACAGCATGTAGCATCCAAAGGTACATTCATTCTGTTTGCAGATAGTTTCACCCTGTACTTACACCCCTGGTAGTTATACCCTGTACTTACACAATGGAGCCTTCTCCATTGTGGCCCCTCAGCTTTCGAACTTGCTACCCAATGAGATTAGGAAAGCCCCCACCCTAGCAGCCTTTAAGAAGGTCCTGAATACCTGGCTCTTCCTGTGTGCCTTTGACGAATGAACACATACCCCCATATCTTGTCTGCCACAAAGATCTATCCTCATGATGCACTTTCTCTTGTCAACCACATTGTTCATCCCTTCTGAGTTCTCCCTCAGACACATACTACTCCATTTACTTATCTCACCCTATTCTGTTCATTTGGCCCACCCACTGTGCTTTTATTCCTCCACCATGTTATTTGCTTATTGTATACTCTGTTACTTTATGTATTTTATTTTGATGTTATTATGGCTTGCTTGTATTTTATTTTGCTGTATTGTAATTTTGGGCTTGGCCTCATGTTAGCCACCCCAAGTCCCCTTCGGTGAGATGGTGGCGGGGTATAAATAAAGATTATTATTATTATTATTATTATTATTATTATTATTATTATTATTTGAATCACAACAAGATGAGTCCACAGCAGACACTCTGCTGGTTGTTGTATTGGATCACATGTTGGACACTTCCCAAGTGTCTAGGACTGTATGATGTATCGGCGAATAATGTGTGCAGATCCCAGTAAGGTGGTCTTTTGCAGCTGGCAGATGGTAATTTTGTCAGCACCAATTGTGTTTAACTGCAGGCCAAGGTCTTTAAGCAGTGCACCCAGTGTGCCGATCACCACTAGGACCATCTTGACTGGTTTGTGCCAGAGTCTTTGCAGTTCAATCTCTAAATCCTCATATTGTGTCAGCTTTTCCAGTTGTTTCTCTTCAATCCTGCTGTCACCTGGGATTGCAACGTCGACAATCCATACTTTGTTTTTTAACATGATTGTGAGGTCAGGAGTATTGTGCTCCAGAACTCTGTCAATCTGAATTCGGAAGTCCCAGAGGAGTTTGGCGTGTTCATTCTCTGTAATTCTTTCCGGCTTGTGATCCCACCAGTTCTTTGTCACAGGCAGATGGTATTTGTGGCACAAGTTCCAATGAATCATCTGAGCAACTGTGTTATGCCTCTGCTTGTAGTCTGTCTGCACGATTTTGCAGCAGCTGAGGTTGTGATCTATTGTGTCATCTGCTTCCTTGCAGAGTCTACATTTGGGCTCTGTCATCGACTTTTCAATTCTGGCTTGATGGCATTGGTTCTAATGGCTTGTTCTTGGGCTTCCAGAATCAGGCCCTCCGTCTCCTTTTTCAAAGTTTTGTGAGCCACAGCCATGTTTTTCTTTGTCAATTTGGCTCTCAATTTTTCCAGGAACTGTCCATGGAGAGCCTTCTTTTGCCAGTTTTCTATTATTATTATTATTATTATTATTATTATTATTATTATTATTATTATTATTTTCTCCATCCATTTAGTCCATGCTGTATATGAATTGTATGATTTTCTGCTTATCTCTGCTCCATCTGACACTTATCATTTTATGTTGTCCTCCTTTTCTTGCAGCTGAGGGACAAATACGGCCCATTATACACATTGTACCTGGGGCCCCGCCGGGTTGTGGTTCTTTGTGGGCTTGAGATACTGAAGGAAGCACTGGTGGACCATGGTGAACAGTTCTCTGGCAGGGGAGAGATGGTTATCATTGACCAGTCCTTTAGAGGTTTTGGTGAGTGGACTGGATCTAGTGTGGCTTCCCAATAAAGGCTAAGATCCCCCATTGTAACAGGAAACAGGTACATTGTAACAGGAAACAGGTACCTGTTACTACTCCAGGATTCACCATAATGTTGTGACAATCCCCTTTCCAATAAGATGGAAAGAGGGAAAGGCAATATCAGAGGAACATCTGGCTATGTTTCCAGAACCATGTGAAGACCAATAACACCTTCTACTTGAATCTGCTGGGATCTTCTAGAAGTGTAATGGTATCATTGGCCTGCAACTGGCTTATATGATCCATACATATGTATGCTAGCTATGGAGTGGCTGGGGAATGCTCTCAAAGTGAGTCTTTGAGGGGGGGTGGCTTTGGAGTTATAAAGGGAGGAAATGAATAATTACAAAAAAAAATTGGTTTGTCCCAACTAGAATAGCTCAATTGGAACAAATGTTGGATCAACACAGAGCTGCATCCCATTAATGCAGATTCTCTACATTAATTGGGATTAAACAATTAGGAGCTTTGTTGTAGGGATTCAGTGAGAGGGTCACTAACACATCTTGGTCAACACTACTTTGTGTTTCCACTTGGGGATGAACTTGTTTTTGGCGCAGGAGAGTAACCTTTGACAGTGAACTTCAATAACTCTACATAATAAAGTAAACAGCTATATGACTGTATAATTAATGTTATTGTTTTTAACCTATTGTGTATTTATGGTTTTATATTGTTGTTATATTGTGATATTTGCGGCATCGAATTGTTGCCAGTGTTAGCCGCTCTGAGTCCCCCCTTGGGGGTTGAGAACGGCAGGGTAGAAATGTTGCGAATAAATAAATAAATATCTCCAGGAATTGCTTTCTCCAATGGGGAGCGCTGGAAGAAGTTGCGACACTTCTCTCTCAACACGTTGAAGAATTTTGGGATGGGGAAATGCTCCATTGAAGAACGAATCCAGGACGAAGCACAGTACCTGCTGGAGAAATTCAGAAAAACTCAAGGTTGGTGTCAGCATTGATGAGCTCTTTCCATTCAGTTGAGGAAATAATATTGATGGCTTTTCCAACCAGGATGTAGCAAGGATGAAAATCAATAATGACTCTTCTTTTTGTGCTTTTTCAGGTCTGCCCTTTGACCCCACCTTCCTTCTAAGCTGCACAGCTTCCAATATTATTTGCTTCATTGTCTTTGGCAAGCGTTTTGAGTATGACGACAAGACCTTTCTCTACCTGTTGGATGTAACAAACAAAGCCTTTTGTGAGATGAGTACCCCTTGGGCACAGGTAAGAAGGCCCAGCTTAAAGAAAGAACTATTCCTTTGAAATACTACAGAATTGGAGGAGAGCTCCAATTCTGTGGAGCTCTCCTCCTGCAAAAGATAATAAACAAAATAGGGATGAAAAGAATATTCACAAATATTCTCATACATAATTTATTTATCATGCCAGGGGCAGACCAAACAGTTGCATTGCATTTTTTAACAAACAAACAAACAAAACACAAAGTTTGCAAGCTTGGTAGTTGATTAAATGTCCTTTGAACAGTAGCTGGCCACTTGGAGTGCCTCTGGTGTTGCTGCAAGAAGGTCCTCCATTGTGGCAGGGCTCAGGTTGCATTGCAGCAGGTGGTCTGTAGTTTGGTCTTCTCCACACTTGCATGTCGTGGATTCCACTTTGTAGAATCATACATAATGAGAACAAATATCTTATTGATAACACCACTCAGAAAAATAGTCATTTGATGAGGCTCTTGACAAAATAAATAGAATAAAATATGCTTTTTTGTGCATTAAAGCTTTTTTTCATGTCAGGAGCAACTTAAGAGATTGCAAGTTGCTTCTGGTGTGAGAGAATTGGCTGTCTGCAAGGACGTTGCCCACGGGCCATTGCCCAGATGTTTTTGATGTTGTACCATCCTTGTGGGAAGCTTCTCTCATGTCCCCACATGGGCAGCTGGAGCTGATAGAGGGAGCTCATCTGCGCTCTCCCTGGGTTCGAACCTGCGACCTGTCAGTCTTCGGTCCTGTCAGCACAAGGGTTTTACCCACCGCACCACCACAAAAGTGGTAGAAATCCTACCTAAGCACCTATTTAGTCATACTGAAGTAGTATTAGTTAATAGATAGATAAGCTGTCTTTTAAATATATATATAACTGTATAATATGATTTCTAGTTCATTATTGTCATATTATTATTTTTCCCTTTCAATACAAATTATTGTTAAAAAGAATATTTGTTCTTGCATGCAGAAACAAAACAAGTGATTAACAGCCAAGGAGACTGGGAAATGAACTCTTTTTGGGGACTGTTGTTAATATTTATTCTTTCTTGAATTTATTCATCTGTTTAAGTATCATTCTTATATGCCTGATGGACAAAAAGAACCGTAACTGTTGATCTTCCTTCTAGCTGTATGATATGTATTCTGGCATCATGAAGTACTTTCCCGGGGGACACAGCCGTCTCTACAACCTCCTGGAGGAACAGAAAGCCTTCATTGCTGAGAGAATCAAAATCAATCAAGAAACCTTAGATCCCAAGAACCCAAGAGATTTTATTGATTGCTTCCTCATCGAGATGGAGAAGGTATTTTCCGTCACTCAAGGAAGAATTTAGGGATTCTTTGTGTTCCGGAAACTGGGGAGATTGATGAAAAGGAAAGTGGAAAATCCCCAATTGATACAAATTGTACAACCTTGTTCCTCCACAGATTTGATCAATCTATTCTCTCTAGGAATTTCTAGATCAGTGTTGACCCCTGGGGGGGGGGGTGCCAGGGGGTTTCAGAGGGGTCACCAAAGACCATCAGAAAACACATATTTCTGGTGGTCTTAGGAACCCCTTTGGCAGAGAAAGCTGAAGATCTCTCTGCCTGTCCTTGTCTTCCTTTTTTGGAAACAGACAGCGAATCCTCCTACCAAAAGCCATCCTCCTGCTGTGACTGGAGGTGAACTATAAATCCCAGCAACTACAACTCCCAAAAATCAAGGTCTGTTTTCCCCAAACTCAACCAGTCTTCATTTGGGCATATTGACTATTTGTGCCAAGTTTAGTCCAGATCCATCATTGTTTGAGTCCACAGTGCTCTCTGGATGTAGGTGAACTACAACTCCAAAACCCAAAGCCAATTCTCACCACACTTTTCCAGTGTTTTTTCTGTTGGTCATGGGAGTTCTTTGTGCCAAGTTTGGTTCAATTCCATCATTGGTGGAGTTCAGAATGCTCTTTGATTGTAAGTGAACTATAAATCCCAGCAACTACAACTCCCAAATGACAAATAAATCTCCCTCCTCTTCCCCCCTCACCAACACCATCAGCATTCAGTTTTGGGCATATTGGGCATTTGTGCCAAATTTGGTCCAGTGAATGAAAATACATCCTGCATATCAGATATTTACATTACGGTTCATAACAGTAGCAAAATTATGAAGTAGCAATGAAAATAATGTTGAGATTGGGGGTCATCACAACATGAGGAACAGTATTAAGGGTCGTGGCATTAGGAAGGTTGAGAAACGCTGCCCTAGATCTTCCAGTACAATTTCCAGTGGAAGTTGACCAGAGAGTAATACTGGAGAACCTAAAGAGTCCAAGAGAAAACACTTCTCTTTGTAAGTGGAACCTAACCGTAGAGTTGTACTGGATGACCTAAAGATTCCTAAAGAGGCGTTCTCTCCATTTTTTAAAGTATTTTTCTACTTTTTGCAAGAGTTCTGAACCCTTAACCCCAAAGAAAGTGGAAGGCTCACTCTATACTTTGTATAGAGACTTAATTTGAAGACTCATTTAGGGCAGTGATTCTCAACCTTTCAACCTCCAGATCTTTTAGATTTCTTATCCCAGATAAGATAGTTATGTCTCCAACCATAATAAAATCCTCTGCTATGCATTCACTAATTGAACATCGATTCTTTGTTCCTTTCAAGGAAAAGGGAGACCCTTCCACAGAATTCACAATGAATAATTTGATCATCACAGTTCTCAACTTGTTCTTTGCTGGGACAGAAACTATCAGCGGTAGCCTGAGATACTTTCTCCTCCTGATGCTGAAATACCCAGAAGTGGAAGGTATGACGGTGGCCAAATGCAAGGGCTCACAGCTAATCTATATAAATAAAAATGTGATGTTTGTTTGTGGGATTAACACAAAAACCACTGGATGTGGGATTAACTCAAAAACCACTGGATGAATTGACACCAAATTTGGACACAAGACACCTAAAAACCCAATGTATGTCCTTCACTCATACAAACACTGAAAACACAGCAGAAGGGACTTTAAAAGCCCCAAAAAGCTAAATGACAATAAAGAAAAAAGGGTAGAAAGAGGGAAGGAAGGGGAGAAAAGAAAGAAAGAAAGAAAGAAGAAAGGAAAAGGGAGGGAGTGAAAGAAAGAGAAGAGGAGAAGGAAGAAGCAGAGAAGGAAAGAAGAGGTAGAGAAGGAAGAAAGGAGAGAAAGAGGGAGGGAAAGAAAAAGGGAGAAGGAAGGAAAGTGGTAGAGAAGGAAGAAAGGAGAGAAAGAGGGAGGGAAAGAAAAAGGGAGAAGAAGAGAAAGAAAAAGGGGAAGGAAGGAAAGAGATAGAGAAGGAAGGAAGAAGAGAAGGAAAGACAGGAAGGAAGGAAAGAGGGAGTGAAGAAAGGAGGGAAAGGAGAGAAAGAGGGAAGGTCGGCCACAGCAAAGCGTGATGGGTACAGCTAGTAGGTTCCCTTAAAAAATAGACAACGAACAAACCATGTCTTTGTTGGGCGAGTGAGATTATTAACAAAAAACCCTTTTCATAAATGTACAGCAGAGTAACTTATCAACAGCAGCGTAAACAAGCACCAGTAGCCAAAACTGATAAAAAAGAACAAAAACACACAGACCAATGTTATCTCTTCCATAGGAGGCTTTTGTTTATAGACAAATAATATGGTTGCGTTATTTATGAAAACAAGGTTTCCATAACATGAAGAAAGTTCTTTATACTTCCTTCTTTGCTTCCACGCTGGGCTTCTTTCTCATGCAGATAGACAGCTTCACTCTCGCGGAGCCTCCTCTCACCCCAAAGTTACACAGGAGCTTCACACAGTAGCTTTTCACACACAGCTTCCTTCACACACGATGGCCTTCAATCTGGGGCTTCCTCTCACCGAAGCTTCTCACACCAGGCCTTCTCATAATAAAGCCTACTATTTATTTATTTATTATTTATACCCCGCCCTTCTCCCCCCAAAGGGAGACTCAGGGCGGCCTAACAAAAGCATCATACGATGCTAGCATCATAAAAACAACCACAGTACAATCAAAATATTAAAAATTAAAACAGCAGTTCAAACAATTAATTAAGACACATCCATTAAAATCGAAATCCAAAAACCAGTCCGGGTCAATTCATTGCCATAAGTTGTGTGATCTTCTTCCACTTGCTGCTCACTGATCATACTCTTGGTCCCATAACCAGGTCTTGATTTTCCTTCTAAAAGGCAAGAGGGAGGTGGCCAATCTGATATCTCTAGGGAGGGTGTTCCATAGGCAGGGGCCACTGCTAAGAAGGCCCTGTCTCTCATCCCCATCAACCGTGTTTGCGATAGTGGTGGGATCGAGAGCGGGGCCTCTCCTGAAGATCTTAAACTTCATAAAAGGAGATACATTCGGACAGGTAGTCTGGGCCTATTAACACTGAAGCCTATTAACACTGCGGCCTATCTTATACTGAAGCCTACCTTATACTGAGGCCTTTCTCCCACTGAGGTAAACTAACACTGAGGCCTATTCATGCTGGAGTTTACTAACACACTGAGGCCCTTCTTCCACAGTGATCTCTCACAGACTGAGGACTACTAAACTACAGGCACATCTGCTTATTTTAGCTTCAACTTTTGCTCAGCCATTGCATCGATTTAAGCCTTTCAGTACTTGGCTCACATTTTTCCAATTTTAAATACCTAGTTAATTTTTAATATTTCTGACAGTCTTGACCTAACTGAACCCTGCCAGCTTTTAATGTCTAATTGCAATAATAGTTTAACGTGCATAGAAAGACCTGAGGTCCGTTAAGAACAGTATAAAAATAGGAAACACAAACCTACCCTTAAAGTCACCAGGATCTCCTCCTTGTTCATGTAACTCTGACCACAGACTATTGCCTGACATTAGAGAACTAAGGAGCACTGTGTCTTTTAGATCAGTGGAGGGATCCGAATTTAGAGATTAAGGGAATTATCCTCACTTAAAGCATAGAAAACCATGCATGGTAATTACAGTTGACATTACTAGCCTAGATGGACCATACAGGTACCACTCACTTATTTGACAGATTAGGGACCAGAGCATTATCAAAAAGTGAAAAGCGTTGAAAAGCAGAATCCAGTCTCCCCCCGACACACACACATACACACACACACACACTTATTATGCAGTCAACTGTTTGTATTTAAGTTCTCATTTTTGTGAATTTGATTAATCGTGAATTGGATTAAAGTGTTCTCTCTCAGAATCTCCAGGTCCTCTATTACAACTCCGTGGTCAGCTTCTGGCAAGAGGTGGCCATAGAGTTGCACTGGAGACCTAGATATGTATTATATCGTATTATAGTTTTTATATATTACTAGCTGTACCCGCCACACGTTGCTGTGGCCAACCTTCCCTCCCTCTTTCTCTCCTTTCCCTCCTTCTTTCGCTCTTTCTTTCTTTCTTTCTTTCTCTCTTTTTCTTTCCCTTCTTCTTTCTTCCTTCTCTATCTGTTTCTTTTCTTACTTCCTTTGCTCTTTGGTTCCACCCTTCCTTGTCTCTTTCCTTCCTTCCCTCCCCCTTTCTTTCTTTTGTTCCTTCTCTCCTTCCTTCCCTCTTTCACTTTTTTATTTCCTTCTCTCTTTCCTTCCTTTTCTACCTACCTTTCTTTCTTTCTTTCTTTCTTCCTTTCCTTCCTTCCTTCCTTCCTTCCCTCCATCTTTCTCTCTTTCCTTCCTTCTCTCCCTCCTTCCCTCATTCACTTTTTTACTTTCTTCTCTCCTTCCTTCTCTATTTTTCTTTCTTTCCTTTTCTCCTTCCTCCTTCTTTCCCTCTTTCTCTCTTTCCTTCCTTCCTTCCTTCCTTCCTTCCTTACTTACTTACTTACTTACTTCCCTCTTTCTGTGTATATGGGTTTTGTGTGTGTATATATTTGTGTATATGTGTATATATGTGTGTTTGTGTACATATGTGGTTTTGTGCATGTGTTGTATTTTTTTGGTTTTAGGTCTCTTCTGCTGTGTTTTTCAGTGTTTTTATGAGTGATAGTCACTCGTTGGCCTCATCAGTGTATTGTGTCCAAACCTGGTGTCAATTCACCCAGTGGTTTTTGAGTTATGTTAATCCCACAAACGAACATTACATTTTTATTTATATAGATATTTTATATATTATATTGTACATTATAAGAACACATACTATAAGCAAATGTATGTGTACTGTATTATAAGCACAATAACAAATTGCCGATCCACTGAACTCAATTCAAAGTGCTGGTTTTGACCTATAAAGCTCTATACGGTTCTGGCCCAGCTTACTTGCCCGAACGCATCTTCCACTACATCCCGTCTTTCAGTTTAAGGTAATCTGGGGAGACCCTGCTTTCGCTCCCACCAGCGTCGCAAATACATCTGGCAGAGATGAGAGGCAGGGCCTTCTCGGCTGTGCCCCCCCCCTCCCCACCTGTGGAACTTACTTTCCACGTGATAAGATCGGCTTCATCCCTCTTGTCTTTTAGGAGGAAATTGAAGTCGTGGTTCTTGGACCAGGCTTTTGGACAGTAGGCATAAATTGCGCTTTGGATATGGAATTTGACTGGAATTGTGATACTGTGGTTAATACTGTTTTTATTGTTTTAATTAATGCTCTATTTATTGTTTTAATTGTCGTTACATTGCTTTGTTATATTTAATGGCATCAAATTGTGCCAAATGTAAGCCGTCCTGAGTATCCCTTCGGGGGTTGAGAATTACAGGGTAGAAATGCTGGAAATCAATAAATATTATACAGTACTGTGTCAGAGACACACTAACCACAGTTTCTAGATGCACCACAAATGATTGGATACAAACTAAATGAAAAAGATGGCATAGAGTCAACAAAAATGGTGGTGAAATTATTTCGTAGAGTCATCCAAGAACATGGTCACAAAACCATCAAAAGGATAGAAACTCTGTCAAAATGAAGTTCAAGCTATCTATTTCGACAAATCAAAAGAGCCAGCTGAAGAAAAGCGGGTCATTGGAAAAAAATAAAAACAAGGGACACCCATATAGGGTAGTTTTCTGTGTTCCTATGAACATGAAAAAAAAAATCCAGGCAGATGAGCTTTGGATCAGTCTTTGTTCTTGTGTCTTCAGATCCCACATCCCAAGGCAAATTTCCAATGATATAATGCCATTCCCTGGCTTGCACATCATGTCTTTCACTGGTTGCTCTCTGGGGCATATTTTCTCTATTTATTTTTTTTACAGAGAAGGTGCACCAAGAAATTGACTGTATTATTGGTCGCAATCGTGTCCCTGCTGTCAAGGACAGGGTGAACATGCCCTACACGAATGCTGTCATCCATGAGATCCAAAGGCTGGTAGATATGCTTCCTGTAGGATTGCCGCACAAGGTAACTGAAGACACCGAGTTCCGGGGTTACCTTCTTCCCAAGGTAGGTGTGTGTGGTTTGTACGAAGTGGAATGGATGGAGGCAATGGGAATACATGTCTAAGATCTTCATCACCTTCCTTCATCAGACATTGATTGACAATTTTCTTCTATTTTTTTCAGGGCACTAACATCATTACCTTACTAGGCTCAGCTTTGCATGACCCCCAACATTTCAGTGACCCTGAAGTATTCAACCCTGAGCGCTTCTTAGATGAAGAAGGACGCTTTAAGAAGATTGATGCCTTTGTGCCATTCTCCTTAGGTAGGACTTTGTTGCCCTGTTTCGTTTGCTTTTAAGGTAGGTTGGAGGAGAGGCATGTATTATTGTGGCAATAATGCCATGCTCCTGAATGTGCAGATATAGTTCTGTAAGTCTTGCTGGGAATATTTAATTGCCACAAAGAATACAACAGGGACCAAGCTTTGTAGCCATTTTCCCAACCTCAGGCCTTTGACTGACTTTTGTTCTGTCCCCAGGGAAGCGTTCCTGCGCAGGAGAACCTATGGCCCGCATGGAGCTCTTCTTGTATTTCACGTCCATCCTGCAAAACTTCTCAGTGAAATCCTCTCTGGATCCAAAGGACATTGATATCTCTCCACAACTAAGTGGCTTTGCAAGAATCCCTCCTGTCCACCAGCTGTGTTTGATGCCTCGCTAATTTTGCTAATCTAATTTTCCATCTTTTCTAGTAGCGCGCATTAAAAAACCTCTGGGTCATGCCATATCTTGTTCTATTGCTGGCGAATCACTATAGTAAATGGAATTGTGAACTCAACTGACCTACTAGACATGGGCTATTCAGATGGTCTCTGTGTTGGAGTGTGGCCTTTTAAACAGAGACTGGATAGCCATTTATCAGGACTGGCTGGATTGTGTCTTCCTGCACTGCACATGGGGGTTGGACTGCTTGGATTGGGGGCTCTTCCAGCTCTACAATTCCCTGGTTCTAATTCTTTAGGTGAATTTTTCCACAATAATCTGTCCAAAGCACCAATTCACATTAAAATCGATGACTATCTATTAAATGACTTTTTAAAAATACTTGGAATGAACATTTGCTTAAAGGAACTTTAAGAATGGAGGATGTGCTGATCACCACTGGGACTACCTTGACTGGTTTGTGCCAGAGTCTTTGCAGTTCAATCTTTTGCAGCTGGCAGGTGGTCATCTTGTCAGTGCTGATTGTGTTTAAGTGCAGGACTGACAGATCCGTGAAGGCAGATCTGGACAGGGTGGTCCATGCCTTAGTCATCTCTAGATTGGACTACTGTAATGCACTCTATGTGGGGCTGCCCTTGAAAACGGCCCAGAAATTTCAACTGGTTCAACGGGCAGCGGCCAGATTGTTAACTGGTGCTCCTTACAGGGGGCGGTGAACCCTCCTGTTTAAGGAGCTCCATTGGCTGCCATTCATTTTCCGGTCCCAATTCAAGGTGCAGGTTCTTACCTACAAAGGCCAAACGGTTTGGGACCCGCCTACCTGCATGACTGCATTTCTGTGTACGAACCCACACGATCTCTTCGATCATCTGGAGAGGCCCTGCTCGCGCTCCCACCTCCATCGCAAGCGCGATTGGTGGGAACGAGGGAGAGGGCCTTCTCGGTGGTGGCCCCTCAACTCTGGAACTCACTCCCCAAGGACATCAGGCATGCCCCAACTCTGGCAGTCTTTAGGAGGAGCCTGAAAACATGGTTGTTCCAGTGTACCTTCCCAGAATAAGGAAACTCCTAGTAATATGTCCCTAAATGCACTTTATCTAGGATTGTCTGCACGCCCTATTCCTCTCCGAAAATTCTATCCTAGTTATATTTCACCTGGTCATGCTCAACATTATTTTCAAAATTTTAATTACTACATCTGGCCCAGCCATAGGTTTTTAAACGTCGTTGTGTTGTTGTTAATGTTTACTGCTTATTTTCTGTTTATGAATTTTATTTATTGTTTTGTATTACTGTTGTTATTGTTTTTACTGATGTATTGTGGGCTCGGCCTCATGTAAGCCGCACCGAGTCCCTTGGAGAGATGGTAGCAGGGTACAAATAAAATTTTATTATTATTATTATTATTATTATTATTATTAATTTTGGAGCACAATACTCCTGACCTCACTATCATGTTAAAAAACCAAGTATGGATCATTGATATTGCAATCCCAGGCAACAGCAGGATTGCAGAGAAACAACTGGAAAAGCTGACATGATATGAGGATTTAAAGATCAAACTGCAAAGGCTCTGGCACAAGCCAGTCAAGGTGGTCCCAGTGGTGATCGGTACACTGGGTGCAGTGCCTAAAGAACTTGACCTGCACTTAAACACAATCAATGCTGACAAAATTACCATCTGCCAGCTGCAAAAGGCCACCTTACTGGCATCTGCACGCATTATTCGCCGATACATCACACAGTCCTAGACACTTGGGAAGTATCCGAAGTGTGATCCAATACAACAACCCCCATAGTGATCTTGTTTGCTGTGAACTAATCTTGTTGTGATAATAATAATAATAATAATAATAATAATAATAATAATAATAATAACAAGAAGAAGAAGAAGAAGAAGCTGTGCCCTGCCATGCATTGCTGTGGCTTATAGTGTTGATTGTAGGTGAACTATACATCCTAGTAACTACAACTCCCAAATGTCAAGATCGATTTCCCCCAAACTCCATCTGTGTTCACATTTGTTCGTATTGAGTATTCCTGTCAAGTTTGGTTCAGATCCATCATTTTTTGAGTCCACAGTGTTCTCTGGGTGGAGGCGAACTACAATTCCAAAACTCAAGGTCAATGCCCACCAAACCCCTCCAGTATTTTCTGTTGGTCATGGGAGTTCTGTGTGCCAAGTTTGGTTCAATTCCATTGTTGGTGGAGTTCAGAATGCTCTTTGATTATAGGTGAACTTACCTATCAAAAACCTTCAGGCACCAGCAAACCCCCAAGCAGAGCCATCAAGCCATGGGCCTTTATATCCATCCTTATGTTGACTTCTCTGTGTTCTCTGTGTTTAACCCCACAACCTGGGGATCACAACCAGATACAGTGAAGACATCTGCCCTTGCGCTGGGCTACTCTGCTGCTGAGTATGCATGCCCAGTGTGGAACACATCTCACCACACTAAAACAGTGGATGTGGCTCTTAATGAGACATGCCGCATTATCAGGGTGTCTGCGCCCTACACCACTGGAGAAATTACACTGCTTAGCCGGTATTGCACCACCTGACATCCGCCGGGAAGTAGCAGCCAATAGTGAAAGGACCAAGGCAGAGATATTTCCAGCTCATCCCCTGTTTGGGTATCAGCCAGCACGTCAACAACTTAAATCAAGAAATAGTTTTCTAAGATCTACAGAGACACTCGCTGGAACACCCCAGCAAGCGAGAGTCCAAAAGTGGCAGGCTCAAACCCAGAACCTCAACCATGGCTGATACCAAATGAGAGACTCCCCCCTGGGTACACAGAAAACTGGGCGACTTGGAAGGCGCTGAACAGACTGCGCTCTGGCACCACGAGATGCAGAGCCAACCTTAAGAAATGGGGCTACAAAGTGGAATCCACAACATGTGAGTGTGGAGAAGAGCAAACCACAGATCACCTGCTGCAATGCACCCTGAGCCCTGCCACATGGAGGACCTTCTTGCAGCAACACCAGAAGCACTCCAAGTGGCCAGATACTGGTCAAAGGACATTTAATCAACTACCAAACTCACATTTTGTATTATGTCTGTTTGTTTGCTTTGTTCTGTTAGAAATGTAATATAATTGACTGCCTGCCCTGCCCTGACATGAAATTTAAAAAAAACCCACAACTGACAGGTTGGAGGTTCAAATTTGGGGACAGCACGGTTGAGCTCCCTCTGTCAGCACCAGCTCCCCATGCAGGGACATGAGAGAAGCCTCCCACAAGGATGATAAAAAATCAAAGCATCCAGGCACCCCCTGGGCAATGTCCTTGCAGACAGCCAATTCTCTCTCACACCAGAAGTGACTTGCAGTTTCTCAAGTCACTCCTGACATGGGGGAAAAAACACAACCTGGTAACTTTTGTTCTTTGTTGCTCATCATTCTTTTGTTCACTCTTTTTGAGAGGAAAGGTTCTCACATCATTCAGCCATCCTGACCTAGCTGGGATAGTCCTGGTTAATCATCTATTGCCCTCCTTTTAATCAATTTCACCATATCCCAATTTATTTTTCCTCTTTTCACATTTTTCTTTTCCAACTTTTTTCCCAGGGCAGAAATGAGTACCTTACGGCTCATTCAGTGTTGTTGAGTGAGAATACCATTGTCCCAACCACTGCTATAGACACTGGAAAAGCAAAGAAACTGTCCTTCATGCAATGGTTTGTGTTACAACATTTTGCTGCATTTTCCATTCTTCTGCAGATAATTGTTATCTCCTCTCTACCCTCCTTAGCAGTGTCTGAAATGATCAGTTAATAATGAACTTTGTGCCACATAATAAGATAGGGAATTAACTTATTTCTCCTAAATGTGATGGTGTCCCCCTAGTTGGATTAGAAACTCATGGGTGGGATAGGCAGTGATAAGCACTGAATTGGGTGAAACCCCTCCTTCCAGCTGTTATAAATCCAGCACAGTTTTTGAGCCCATCACAAGAGCCCAGAGAATTGTGCCCACATGGAGATGGTTTCAGGGTTTCTGCTGCTGCTCCTTTGTGTCTGCTGTCTCCTTATTCTCCTGACATGGAAGCGGCAAAGAGGCAAAGGGCTCCTGCCCCCTGGACCCACCCCACTCCCCATCCTGGGAAATTTTTTCCAACTGGACCGAAAGGATATCATGAAGTCCCTGGTTAAGGTGAGTCTCAATTCACTTGTCTTCCTTCTTTGGAAGACTTAGAAGTAGACCTAAGACTTGTCTTAAATATGAGAAAATCTTGTTCTCGCCCTGAATCTAGTACTGACAATCTTCATGGTGATGGTGTACTGTAAGTCTTCAGAGTAGTGGTTCTCAACCTGTGGGTCCCCAGGTGTTTTGGCCTACAACTCCCAGAAATCCCAGCCAGTTCACCAGCTGTTAGGATTTCTGGGAGTTGAAGGCCAAAAATATCTGGGGACCCAGGTTGAGAACCACTGATTCAGAGGGTTTTGTTTTTTTTTTGCCCTAATCCCAGCTTTGCTCCACACTAAGTAAAGCTGAGGGATACTTCAGAGCTTGCAGGAACCCACAGAGCTTCTTCCAGTGTTTCGGCCACCTGGACAGCTGGATCAGGTCCATTTTGGTCTGAGCCATTGTCCACATGCACGTTACCACCATTGTATGCTGCTCAACCTGGGTTATCTCCCATATTGCCACCATTGCCACACCTCATCTCCATGAAGCTCCATCTGAGAACCTGGTCATCATGGTCATGTCAAAAGAGAGTGCCCACATGATTGGCCAGAAGGAGGGCATCACTCTACCCCTTTTCTTGCTGTTCCCATAAGCACCCCATGATAACATCAGCAGACATTACAGGTTACGGTCAAACATAGAAAGTAGGGCTGGGCGGTTTCGTTTCGTTAATTCGTAATTCGTTAATAATTCGTTAATTCTTTCAATTACAAAATGATAATGAACCATTCTGGAGCAATTATTTAAAAAAACGAATTTTCAAAAACGTTTTGTAAATGCTTCGTATTTCGATATTGTATTCGTTTCGTTATTGTTTTGAGGTCGTTTTGTTATTATTTCCGCATGTCTGGGCCAGTTTTATGGTTTAATTAGTGAAAAAAAATTATAATATCACACCAACAGTCAACAACAGAGGGAGAGGGAAGCTTCAGAAGGTTTTGGAGGTTTTTTAGCGTATTTCGCGGTTGCGTCCGCCATTAGCGAATCGATTCGTTATTGTTTCGGAAATCGATTCGTTAATTTTTTACCATTTACGAAATTTCGTAAATATCGAACTTTTTAAAAGGAAAATTTTGTAATTATTTTAAATATCGAAACAAAAAAACCCCCCAAATACAAATCGATTTTAGAAACAAATTTTTCCGTTGTTACCCAGGCCTAATAGAAAGCTCTGTGGCTGGTGAAGATCATAACTGGAAACACTCAGATGAGGTGATAGGCCAGCAATGGGATGGGTGAGACAATCTAGACACGTTTATGTGCTGTCCCCAGACCCATATGGATACATCTCAGAAAGATATCATGTTTCACCACATAATAATCGCAATTTCCCCCTTTTGGCAGAAAAATTCAGTGCGACTATTACGTGGTGGTGACTATTATACAGTGAAAATAAATTCCAGCTGAGGGGCTTCACTTGTCTGCTAGCTGAATGAAGTCTTGTAGCTGGAGAGAGGGCGGGCTTGTGTATTAGGTTAAGAGGAAATGCATAGTGTCCAGACAGTTTAGGAATTATTAAACATAATAGTAGACACATTCCTCCTTCAAAGAAAATACAATGAATGATTAGGCTTCGCATAATAGTGTGGAAGAGGCACAGTATCCCTGCTTTGCCATTCTTAACTTTATGGGTTTTTCTTGGCAGATGAGTGAAGTGTATGGTCCAGTATTTACCATGTACCTGGGAATGCATCCAGTTGTCATCTTGTGTGGCTACAAAGCAGTGAAGGAGGCCTTAGTGGACCAGGCGGAGGAGTTCAGTGGACGTGGACAAGTGCCAGCTTTTTCCAAGGATTTCAATAAACATGGTGAGGAGCTGAGATATAGTGTGTGTGTTGCAGGCAAAGATGAAGTACTTTGGCCACATAATGAGAAGACAGGAAAGCTTAGAGAAGACAATTATACTGGGGAAAATGGAAGGAAAAAGGAAGAGGGACTGACCAAGGCCAAGATGGATGGATGGTATCCTTGAAGTGACTGGCTTGACTCTGAAGGAGCTGGGGGTGGCGACAGCTGACAGGGAGCTCTGGCGTGGGCTGGTCCAGGAGGTCACGAAGAGTTGGAAGCAGCTGAACAAACCAACAACAACAAATGGCAGGCTATCCTGAGATGGAAAGGTGCCAACTTAGCCTGAAATACACTCTAGATCACTTGATATTCATTGGTGGGCTCCCATCCAAGTACTACAGGACCGACTTTAATTAGTTTCCAAGATAATTAAAATGGCAAGATTACCACTTGTGTATCACTTGATTAAGAAACCACTATGCAACTCATGGAGTTGCCATAGGTCAACAGGTAACTTAAAGGCACACACACATAGTGTATTCAGTGGGGTTTGTTCCCAATCTATTGAATCTATGCTCAACAATGTGCACGATTGATCTCTTCCTCAGTTGTTGTAGACTTTTTAGGCTATATGGCCATGTTCTAGAAGCATTCTCTCCTGACATTTTGCCTGTATCTATGACAGGCATTCTCAGAGGTTGTGAGGATGCCTGCCATAGATGTAGATGAAACGTCAGGAGAGTATGCTTCTAGAGCATGGCCCTATAGCCCGAAAAACCTGCAACAACCCAGTGATTCTGGTCATGAAAGCCTTCAATGATCTCTCCCTCCCTTTCCTTGAAGTCCCACTTTTCAAATCGTCATTTCATGTTCTCTTTTCCAGGGGTTGTGTTTTCTAATGGGGAGCGGTGGAGGCAGCTCCGTCGGTTCACTCTTAGCACCTTAAGAAACTTTGGGATGGGGAAACGATCCATCGAGGAACGAATCCAGGAAGAAGCCCAGTACCTGGTGCAAGAATTCCGCAAAATGCATGGTTTGTTTTGCTACAAACTTCCCTTCTTCTCTCCCCCCCCCCCCATTCTTTTCCAGACATTTTGGGGACTCCTAGGAATGACCCGTGAAGGTTGACAGGTTTTCATCTTTTCTTCTTGCTACTTAGGGATGCCCTTTGACCCCATCTTCATCCTCAGCCATGCCGTCTCCAATGTCATCTGCTCCATTGTCTTTGGAAATCGGTTTGAGTATCACGACAAAAAGTTCATCCAACTGAACAAGCTAATAACAAAACGATTCCGAGTCTCCAGCTCCCCACCCGCCATGGTGAGAGAAACACTTCTCTGTCTTTGAAGTCTAGCTTGCTTCCATAGCCTTATATTGAAATATAGGTTGACTTCAACCACTGGTTTTCCAGATGTTTGGAATTTTAACACCCAAGGATCCTTGACTGTTAGCCAGGCTTCTGGCAGCTGAAGTCTAAAACTATGAAGGTGTGACAGATCTAGTTCAGCACTATCAGCCTCTTTCCAAAGTTGTTCTTCTGATTTATGCCAAATCTAGTTGTCCCTGAAATTGAATTGGGAGGCCCTGTGTGGTCAGAGCCCTGCATTTTTGGTCTACATTCATGAATTGTGAAGATGGGTAACACAACACACTGACAAGAGTATCCGGAGGCATATTAGGATGTACTTGAGAAACTGCAAGTCACTTCTGGGGTGAGAAAATTGGCCGTCTGCAAGGACGTTGCCCAGGGGATGCCCAGATGTTTTTAGACTTCTCTCATGCCCCTGCATGAGAAGCTGGAGCTGACAGATGGGAGTTCACCCCACTCGCCGTATTCGAACCCCCAACTTTTTGGTCAGCAGTCCTGCTGGCACAAGGGTTTAACCCATTGCACCACCAGGGGCTCCTATTAGGATCTACTAATACATATTGACACTTGTCAGCAAATGTCCTGAAGAACATTGAAATCCCATTGAGCATTGGTCCTGATATGCATCATGTTCTGTTTTGCATCAGTCCCAATGCACATTCATCACTTTGCTAGCTCTCCAAAGCAGAATATTACAGCAGTCCAGCTGAATATTGAATACTGCAAACCTGCTCATGTTTATTTCTTCCAAATGTAGGTCCACTTACAATGATGTAAGTCCCTAAGTGAATTCTGGCCCAGGTTTGTAAGAGACCATCATGATTTCATAGATTGTAGCAGGCCGTCGCTGGAGTGCATGCAAAGTACACTGCTTAGTAAGACAAATGGCACAGTTTCTAGGCAATTTGGAGAGTTTGAAGATACACCTGGCCAAAAAAAGCCTGGTGTGCTCACAAAGCTAATTTCTCTTCCCTCCTATTCCCATCCCTGCAAAAATACAGCTCTACAACATGTTCCCAGAGTTCTTGGAGAAGTTGCCCGGACCTCACCACACAGGAAGCAAATGCTCTCAGGAGATTATCGCCTTCATTATGGAGAGGATCAAGATGCAGCAGGCCTCGCTGGATCCCTCAGCCCCCCAGAATTTTATTGACTGCTTCTTAGCAAAGATGGAGCAGGTAATGGTGGACAGACTGTTTATATGGATGGAGCAAACCAATTTGCTGGCATCATTGGAAGCAATGACAATGAGCAGAGTGTTGATTCATTGACCTCTGAGCGTCCGCTCAAAGGCACAAAGGCAAATAATGAAGCGTGCTACTTCAGTCAGCTCCAAAGCCTGGAACAGCTCTTATCTTTTATTGCAAATACTAAAAACTACAAACTATTTACAGGAGCAGAATAAAACACATCTGTTTGCTAGCTGTACATCGCTGGAAGCTGAAACCACATGGCAATCTGATTCTGTGGAATGTAAACAAGCTACCAGAACACTCCAAAATTATGCTCTAGGAATCAAGCACAGCTCTATACATTTAAGTTTTACATTGCATTGCTACACCACACTATTACAATATTTGATAATAGGTTTTTCGGGCTATATGGCCATGTTCTAAAAGCATTCTCGCCTGACGTTTCGCCTGCATCTATGGCAAGCATCCTCAGAGGTAGTGAGGTCTGTTGGAACTAGGAAAAGGGTTTATATATCTGTGGAATGACCAGGGTGGGACAAAGAACTCTTGTCTGTTGGAGCTAGGTGTGAATGTTTCAACTGACCACCTTGATTAACATTTGATGGCCTGGCAGTGCCTGGGGCAATCTTTTATTGAGAGGTAATTAGATGTCCTTGATTGTTTCCTCTCTGTTGTTTTGCAGTTGTAATTTTAGAGTTTTTTAATACTAATAGCCAGATTTTGTTCATTTTCATGGTTTCCCCCTTTTTGTTGAAATTGTCCACATGCTTGTGGATTTCAATGGCTTCTCTTTGTAGTCTGACATGGTGGTTGTTAGAATGGTCCAGCATTTCTGTGTTCTAATATAATATAATATAATATAATATAAAAATTCTAATACAACAGCAAAACAACAGAGAGGAAACAAACAAAAACATCTAATCACCTCTCAACAAAATATTGCTCCAGGCACTGCCAGGCAATCAAATGCTAATCAAGGTGGGCAGTTGAAACATTCACACCTAGCTCCAACAGACAAGAGTCCTTTGTCCCACCTTGGTCATTCCACAGATATATAAAACCACTTTCCTAGTTCCAACAGACCTCACTACCTCTGAGGATGCTTGCCATAGATGCAGGCGAAATATCAGGAGAGGATGCCTCTAGAACATGGCCATATAGCCCCAAAAAACCTACAACAACCCAGTGATTCTGGCCATGAAAGCCTTCGACAATACATTATTACAATATTTTATTGCATTTAAACCAATGTTCTAACAGGGAGAACAGTTGGCTGCTTTCTTGACGTTTCAGAAGCTTTTCCATGGGATGTTCCAGTGGCAATTGTAGTCATGGGGAGGATTGGAGGGACGCTGTGCCAACCTGGTGTTGGGATGTGAAAAACAAGGAAAAACTTGCACAAGGAGGTACTGTATACTTCCTTGCATAGCACAACTACCTCCTATCACCAGAGTTACCCAAAACTGCCTCCTTGCTTTCCCTCTGTCAGAAAGAAGAGAAAACTTTATATTGATAGGATTCTTGATAATTGGCGATTTTGTTGTCTGTCTGTCTTCAAGCCATTCCTCACTTGCACTTGTTCCAGTTGTGCTATTGATAATAATCCAGCTTCACAGAATGACCACCCTCTCTGTCATCTACCATAAGCAATATGCAAGCTCTCCCTCTCTCACCTTTGCTTTGATTCTTTATAGGAAAAACATGACCCAAATACTGAATTTACCATGGAGAATTTGGTCATGAATACTTTCAATTTATTCTTTGCTGGGACAGAGACAATCAGCACCACCCTGAGATATGGTTTCCTCCTGCTGATGAAGCATCCACAGATACAAGGTAAGGGGAGAAGGAGGGTCAATAACAACTTCAGTGGGATTACTTTACCCCTTCTTAACTGATTCCCAAAACCTGCCTTAACAAACCACAGCAATACCAAGCAATGGAGATCTGTTCTGTTGGTGATCAGGCACAGCAGGATTGACCTTTCCAACCCCCTGCCATCACCAATCTGTCATATGAACTTTTTCTGCTGATAGTTGTATCACAGATTTCTGGCAGAGCAACCTAGAAACATCATCCTACCGGGCACAATTCAAAGTGCTGGCTTTGGCCTATAAAGCCCCAAATGGCCCCGGCCCAAATTACCTGTCCGAACCATCGTGGAGATTAAGATCCTCCAGGGAGGCCCTGCTTTCCATCCCGCCATTGTCACAGGCATGATTGGTGGGGAGGAGAGACAGGGCCTTCTCGGTGATGGCTCCCCTGCTATAGAACTCCCTTCCTGGTGAGATCAGGTCAGCCCCCTCCCTCTTGTCCTTTAGAAGGATGGTAAAAACTTAGCTGTGGGACCAAGCTTTCGGGACAGGGCAATGAGGCGACAGTGGGAAAGATGATAGGGCCAATTGGATTTGATGCAAATGGCTAGGAAGGTTTTAAAGGCACACTGGTTGTTCCAGTGTACCTTCCCAGAATAATGAATTCTCAGCATTGTGCCCTTCAAATGCACTTTACACTGATTTAGGATTGTTATATGTTCCCACTAATGCCGCAACTCTCCTACCTTATTCATGCCTAGCATTATTTTTAACTTTAATTACATTTGGCCCAGCCATTGATTTTAATTGTGTGTCGTATTATTGTCATTGTATATTGCTTTTTTGTTTATGAGTTTTATTTAATTTGTTTCACTGTTGTTGTTATTGCTTGTACTGATGTATTGTGGGCTCAGCCTCATGTAAGCCACACCGAGTCCCTTGGGGAGATGGTGGCGGGTATAAATAAAGTTTATTATTATTATTATTATTATTATTATTATTATTATTATTATTATTATTATTATTATTATATGGTGTATTTTAATATTTTGATAAATGCTTTTTAATGTTTATGTATTGTATGTGAATTTGTGTCCCGGAACTGAATGTGCTGTGTGTATGCTTGACTCCGCCCTGAGTCCCCTTCAGGTTGAGAAGGGCAGAATATAAATGTTTTAATAATAATAATAATAATAATAATAATAATAATAATACAATTGCCAGCAGAAGAGCTCTCCATCACTCATTGTGGCAGCTGTCTGCTAAAGTAAATTGTCAGGGACATTTGCATTTATAGCGAGGGAGACATAGTTTTTAAAATGGAATTTCCATGGCTGCTTTCAATGACTGTAAGTCCCATATGTCCTGATTTGCAGAGGTCTTTCTTTGCAGAAGCCACTAACGGTCTGGGATAACCTTGCTGCAGATATAAAGAATGAAAGTACATCAGGACAGAATTAGCTAGCTTGAACCCCCTAATTTCCCAGGTTATTTATTTATTTATCATGTGAGGAGCGAACCAAAACATTTCCCAGGTGGAGTTTAGGCTTGCAACAGAAAAACAGATAAGAGTGATTCCTTAAGACAACCAGGATCAGAAGACATGATAGCATAGTTGTGCCATTGTTAAGATCCCATGTGTGCCTTCCTGCCTGTTAGAATTATTATTTATTTACTTACTTACTTCATTTATATACCGCTTTTCTCAGCCCTTGGGCGACTCAAAGCGGTTAACAATAGCAAAATTCAATGCTCAACATCATAAAAAGAGTTAAAAACAGTTTAAAACAATGATATAATAAACAATCAATTAAACATAATTATAACATCTGATTAAGATCTCATAGGCAGAATCAAGATCCAGTCTCATAATCTGTTGTTCCATGTTCCTATATTCAATACACTAGTATTGTCATTCTAGTCCATGTCCTTTAAATTCTACAAACATCTACTGTCCGAAGGCCGGATCCCAAAGCCATGATTTTAATTTCTTTCTAAAAGCCAGGAGAGAGGTAGCAGATCTTACCTAATTTGGGAGTGTGTTCCATAGGCGAAGGGCCACTGCCAAGAAGGCCCTGTCTCTCGTCCCCGCCAGACACATTTGTGCAATTGACGGGAGTGAGAGCAGGGCCTCCCCAGATGATCTTAGATTACGAGATGGGACGTAGGGGTGGATGCATTCGGGCAAGTAGGCTGGGCCAGAACCGTATATAGCTTTATAGGTCAAAACCAGCACTTTGAATTGGGCTCCGAGATGGCCTGGCAGCCAGTGGAGCTGGCACAACAGGGTGATATTTGAACACCAATGAGAATGTGTTTTCAATTTTCTGTGAAAGTGATAAAAAGCTGTGCAACCCCATTTCAGGGTGCAACTGAACTTTTGTGCAGTGGGCACTACTTTCACCTTATTGCTTTGGCCCGCAATAAAAGCCTTTGTAGTAAGAATCCAACTTACACGGAGCCTTTGAGGAGATGCCTAAGCTTATGCATTTGGAGTGCTAGTTGTGCTCGTGCCCCTACAATAGCTATGGTGACATTATCATAAACATAACTACGTGTGAGTCTGGCTTGTGTATTTGTACCTACTCAATAGAATGCCAGCAAGAAAGTCTAACTAATATGGGGGGAAATGCATACATACATACACACAATGTCAGGGGAAACTTTACCTTTACCTACTGGAGAGGAGGGATCTATCTAGAGATTCACAGCCAGGCTTTGAAATCTGAGAACCTGATTCCATTCTCTGGGAACAAATATGTTCTACCAGTTCTTTAGCCCTTCGTATCTTTGCCCACCTTGCTGTTACTTTCTGCTTGGTGGCTCCTAAAAGTGAAGAGGTTCAAGCAATGCAACATCTTCATTTTCACCATAAAATAAATTTTCCAGACTTAACTGTGCCTTAACTCAGTCCACTAAATTCAAGCAAAGGGCATCCAGAGAAAACTGAAACCATATTCTCTATTGAATTTGGGAAGATGCTTAATGGTTGTCATCCCTACCTTCAGAAAAAGTCCACGAGGAAATCGACCGAGTGATTGGGCAAGATCGGAACCCAAATGCTCAGGACAGGAATAAAATGCCATACACTGAGGCTGTGCTGCATGAGATCCAGAGGTTTGGCGATGTGCTGCCCATGAGCCTGCCCCATTCTGTTACCCGAGACACCCAGTTCAGGGGATATGTCATCCCCAAGGTAAGGCAAACATGGGATGTTGTGAGATAGGCCTTTTCCAACTTTGAGAAGGGAGAAAGGAGAGGTTTCATGACACTCATGCAAACTCCACAAAAGCTCAGAACCACTTTTCCTGGTTTGCTCATCTCCAACGATTGGTCTCATCTTTTCTCCTTTCCCTCTTCTCCTCTTCCAGGGAACCTATGTCTATCCCCTGCTCAACACTGTACATTATGACCAACAGCATCATGCCAACCCAGAAGAATTTGACCCCGGGAGATTCCTGGACAGCCATGGTTGCTTTAAGAAATTAGAGGCTTTTATGCCTTTCTCAGTGGGTAAGTTTGGGAGTGAGTGGTGAGGCTAGGCAAAGTTGTTGTCCTGTTAAGCAATCTTCATAACGGTGATTTCCAACAGTTGCTGGATAAGCTGGTTTTACAAGAATCTAAAGCTTTTTCTGTGTGCTGTGAAGGATCTCACTTGGTGAATTCTGCAGCTCCTCTAAAAAGCCCAAGACTACAGCAACATGGCTCTCATTTCTTGATCACTTAGATCTGTCATCTTCCAACCTGACTGAAAGAAAATAGACAAATAGAGAGAAGTTAACTATAGAAGTGTGGTGGAGGACTTAGACATTCCTAGAGAAACTTTACTAAGCATTTATAGGTCCTCTGATATTATTTATTTATTTATTTATTTATTTATTTATTTATTTATTTATTTGCAGTATTTATATTCCATTCTTCTCACCCCGCAGGGGATTCAGGACAGATTACAATGTACATATTTATGGAAAACATTCAATGCCATAGACACACAACATATATAGATAGATAATCACAGGCTATTTTAACATTCCATTTTCATGAGGGTATTCTGGCCACCAGGGGAGCTGTCGCTTCACCATCCATTTTTGACACTGATGAAGTACTTCCTCATTCTTTGCATGCTTGCTGGAGATATTTATGGCCTCGTAAATTAGTTAAATTAACCTCCCCGCATAAGCGGTATCTAAATTTCCTACTTGACAGATACAACTGTCTTTCGGGCTGCAAAGGTCAACAACAAGTTACACAAATTGGTTGGAAACTCACTCTGACCAGGGCTGGCTTCGAATTCATGATCTTTTGGTCAGTAGTGATCTTAATGCAGCTGACTCCCAGCCAGCTGCGCCACAGTCCCGGTATAATTCTATAGTCAACTTCCAGAATCCTAGAGATGTATATTCTTGTTTGTTTTGTTATTTTTTTAAAATCACTGATTTTCCACTTTCATGGGGGTCCTGCACCCCTAATCCCTGTGAAAGTGGAGGGTCTATTGTCCTTATATCTAGAAGTAAAAGCTGTTCTGGGAATGCCGACAATCCATCATTTTGATTGGAAAAAGTTGGGTGTGTCCAGTATCCAATTGACCTTATGCAGCTATGGGAAGCCGATACGCAAGGAATACCTTCTTTCACAACATCTGATAAATACTGGTGTGATCCCTATTTATGCCGGCATAAATGACCAGGATGATTCTGGGTTTTGGACCCTTCCCCTCTCCTCCTCTTTACTTAGTTTGGCAGTCCTATCTGTCTGGGGATCCTATGAGTTTCAGTCAAAGGAGTAACTTCCCCCAGCTCTGTTCAAGCCACTGCTCCCAAGTGATCTCCATCTACCGTATATACTCGAGTGTAAGCCGACCCGAATATAAGCCAAAGCACCTAATTTTACCCCAAAATACTGGGAAAACATATTGACTCAAGTATAAGCCAAGGGTGAGAAATGCAGTAGCTACTGGTAAATTTCAAAATAAAAATAGAGTCCAATAAAATTACATTAATTGAGGCATCCGTAGGATAAATGTTTTTGAATATTTACATAAAACTGTAATTTAAGATAAGACTGTCCAACTCTGATTAAACCATTATTGAACCTTCTTCAGTGTAAATGTGCTTCCGTATCCTTCCAATAATAATAAAGAGAGTAAAACAATAAATATAATAATAATAGAGTAAAATAATAAATGTCATAAAAATAATAATAAATATAGTAAAATAATAAATGTAATAATAGTGTAAAATAATAAATGTAATGTATTGTTGAAGGCTTTCATGGCCGGAATCACTGGGTCATTGTAGGTTTTTTCGGGCTATATGGCCATGGTCTAGAGGCATTCTCTCCTGACGTTTCACCTGCATCTATGGCAAGCATCCTCAAAGGTACCTCTGAGGATGCTTGCCATAGATGCAGGCGAAACGTCAGGAGAGAATGCCTCTAGACCATGGCCATATAGCCCAAAAAAACCTACAACAACCCAATAAATGTAATAATAACAATAATAAATAAATAAAAATGTAATAATCGAGTAAAATAATAAATATAGTAAAATAAAAATAATAGAGTAAAATAATAAATGTAATACAATAAAATAATAGAATAAAATAAAGCAAATGTAATAATAATAGAGTAAAATTATAAATGTAATAATAAAAATAAATAAAAATAAATGTAATAATAATAATAGAGTAAAATAATAAATGTGATAATAATAATAATAAATTATAATAAATGTAATAATAATAGTAGAGTCAAATAATAAATGTAATAAAAATAAAAGAGTCAAATAATGTAAATGTAATAATAATAATAAACAGATAAATGTTTTACAAATATAATAAAATAATACTAATAACAGAATAAAATAATAAATAAGTATAAGTATAAGCCGAGTATAAGTATAGGCCGAGTATAAATAAGTATAAGCCGAGTATAAGCTTATACTTATACTTATTGAGTATAAGCCGAGGGGAGCATTTTCAACCTAAAAAATGGGGCTGAAAAACTATGCTTATACCATACTCAAGTATATACAGTAACGTCTTCCCAAATTTCACATGGCTACATCTTTCTTTCATTCTATGATCGTAACCTAGCACTTCCAGTAGAGAAATCAAGACTTGTCCAACAGGTTAGAGTAGGCCTGCAAAACCTGTGGACCTCTAGTTGTTTGGGACTCCAACTCCCAAAAGCCCTAGCCAGCTTGTCCAATGGTCAAAATTCTGGGAGCTGCAGAATTTTTCCAAAACACCTGGAAGGTCACAGATTGTGCAGGCCTTGGTAAAAGGGAAAGACTTTCTGAGTGACTGCAAGGATTATGTTTGTCAGAGTACTCCTCCACCCATTTCCATCTGGTTCTACTATTTTTGCCTTCTCTTGGCAGGGAAGCGGGCCTGCCTGGGCGAAGGACTGGCCCGCATGGAGCTCTTCCTCTTCTTCACCACTATCCTGCAGTCCTTCACCCTCAGCTCACCAGTACCTCATAGTGAGATCAGCCTTGAACCAACTGTGAGTGGCATCAGCAGGTTACCCATGAAATACCAAGTCAAGATGGTCCCACGCCGATGTTGATACGTCTGCTCTTGGTTTTGGTTGCTGTCACAAGCGTTGGAGAACAGAATGTTTCCAGTTCAGGATCTTAGCTGGGATGCTCCATTCCACTGACCCAGTTTTCTAAGTTTGTCTCACCAACAACCTATCAAATTTCACATCCGTCAGTATGCTCAGATCTTTTGTATGCCTTCCTTCATCCAAACTGTTCACAAAGATGATTTTAAAATTTGCCACTATATAAAACCACGTTCTAAGGACTTCCCAAGCAACAAAGCACCAATATCAAATCGCAGTAAAGTGAAGCAGTGGAAACAGATTGAGGGGCTCTCCAATTTGGAAGAGGTTACAGTAGTTGTTGCCTTTGTTCTTGGGGATTGTGGCAACTACCCAGTCAATGTTTCTGTCCTTCTGATTATTTTGTAGTAATAAAGGTAAAGAATTTCCCCTGACATTAAGTCCAGTCGTGTCCAACTCTGGGGGTTGGTGTTCATCTCCATTTCTAAGCTGAAGAGCCGACGTTGTCCATAGACACCTCCAAAGTCATGTGGCCGGCATGACTGCATGAAGCACAGTTACCTTCCCACTGGAGCAGTATCTATTGATCTACTAACATTTACATGTTTTCAGACTGCTAGGTTAGCAGAAGCTGGGCCTAACAGGGGAAGCTCACTTCGCTCCTCGGATTTGAACCTGCGACTTTTCAGTCAGCAAGTTCAGCAGCTCAGTGGTTTAACCCGCTGCGCCACCATAATTCTCTGTAAATCTTTTAACAGATAAAAGTTTGCACATATTTCTTCCTCTATGCCCAGCTGTTCACCTGTCTGTCTCTCAACTACACAATCCTTCTCCATCTACTTAAAGCCCTTTCTGGGAAAGATTCAGGTTCAGTGGTATGATGCAAGCCATAAAAGCAAAAGGCTTTGGTTCAGTCGAAATGAACTCTTGACAGGGCTCTGCTTAGGCTTTAAAGTTGGGAAGCTGCTAACAGGTAGACATCACTAAGTCCATGTATTTAATTCTGTATAGGGCAGCATTTCTCAACCCTTGGGGGGTCGCGGGGAAGGTGTCAGAGAGGTCACCAAAGACCATGAGAAAACACAGTGTTTTCTGTTTGTCATGGGGGTTCTGTGTGGGAAGTCTGGCCTAATTCTATCGTTGGTGAGGTTCAGAATGCTCTTTGATTGTAGCAACTACAACTCCCAAATGTCAAGGTCTATTTCCCACAAACTTGACCAGTGTTCACATTTGGGCATACTGAGTATTGGTGCCAAGTTTGGTCCAGAACCATCATTGTTTGAGTCCACAGTGCTCTCGGAATCTAGGTGAACTACAACTCCAAAACTCAAGGTCAATGCCCACCAACTCCTTTGAGTATTTTCTGTTGATCATGGGAATCCTGTGTGCCAAGTTTGGTTCAATTCTATCGTTGATGGAGTTCAGAGTGCTCTTTGATTGTGGGTTAACTATAAATCCCAGTACCCACAACTCCCAAATGTCTAGGCCAAAACCCACCAGTATTCAAATATGGGCATATCAGGTAGGCATGCCAAGTTTGGTCCAGATCCATCATTGTTTGCATTCACAATGCACAACTACAGCTCCCAAAGGACAAAGTCCAGTGAATGAAAATACATCCTGCACATCAAATATTTACATTATGATTAATAACAGTAGCAAAATTAGAGTTGTGGAGTAGCAACAAGAATAATTTTATGGTTGGGGATCACCACAACATGAGGAACTGTATTAAGGAGTCGCAGCATTAGAAAGGTTGAGAAACATTGGTATAGAGCAGGTGTCCCCAAACTTTTAAAACAGAGGGCCAGGTCACAGTCCCGCAAACTGTTGGAGGGCCGGATTATAATTTGAAAAATCATGAATGAATTCCTATGCATACTGCAGTGCACATATCTTATTTGTAGTGCAAAAGAAACCATTTAAAAATAGTATAATAATTAAAATTAAGAACAATTTTAACAAATATAAATTTATTAGTATTTCAGTGGGAAGTGTGGGGCTGCTTTTGGCTGATGAGATAGGATTGTTGTTGTTGTTGCTTGCTTGCTTTCAAGTAGTTTCAGACTTAGCTTAATCCTGAGCGAGGGCCAGGTAAATGACCTTGGAGGGCCGTATCCGGCCCCCGGGCCTTAGTTTGAGGACCCCTGGTATAGAGCATATCAGTGCTGGGTCGCGATTAGAGAATTGCAAACAAAGGCACAGTGTCCTAGGCTAGGAATTCACTGTTTGCCAGTGAAACCAAGATGAGATAACTATACTCTCCAAATTTTCCCAAATGAAAACTATGCCACACATATAGCCAAGCAACATCAGAGTTGGGCTTCAGGTGTCTCTTTGCCATGATCCTCCTGGGAAGCACAGGTTTTGATCCTCACACCTCTCTCCCATATGTAGAGTTGACTGAGCACAAACTCCTATTGGACTTTGAACCTTTCTTGCAGCAACTGAAGCATGAGGATGAAGGGAGAAAGTGGGAAGAGAGAAACAAAGTGACTTAAAAAGTGGGATGGCAGAGGTTGAATCAGGGACTGTCCCTGCCAAGTCAGTTGGAGAATATGGTATACTTGCCTCATTACCTAATAAAGATCCTTGTTGGAGACCCTACTACATGATGAAGAACTTCCTAATTGTGAGAGCTGTTCAGCAGTGGAACTCTCTGCCCCGGAGTGTGGTGGAGGCTCCTTCTTTGGAGGCTTTATACAGAGGCTGGATGGCCATCTGTCAGTTTGAATGCAATTTTCCTGCATCATAGAATCATAGAGTTGGAAAAGACCTCATGGGCCATCCAGTCCAACCCCCTGCCAAGAAGCAGGAAAATTACATTCAAAACACCCCCAACAGATGGCCATCCAGCCTCTGTTTAAAAGCTTCCAAAGAAGGAGCCTCCACCACACTCTGGGGCAGAGAGTTCCACTGCTGAACAGCTCTCACAGTTAGGAAGTTCTTCCTAATGTTCAGATGGAATCTCCTTTGTTTTAGTTTGAAGCCATTGTTCTGCGTCCTAGTTGTCATAGCTATCAAACTGAAGTTCCAAACATTCAACCCCTTCTGTGGAAGTTGCACCCTTCGTCCAAGGAGGAAAAACCCAACAGAAACAAACTGTCTTTTAGCAAAGAAATATGTATATGAAGGTGTTTACAAATAAAGCAGAGTCCTTGGAATATCCAGCTGCTTCCACACAATGGCTTATAAACACAGTCCTTATCTCCAGATAAGACGCCACAGTCTTGCTCTTCAGATGTTGTAGCAATAATACACCTCTGGCAACTCCAAACCTATTTCCAGCCTCTTTCCAGCCCCAAGTAACACAATGTATTTAGTCTCTATTAGTAGTACTTAAACTCCCACAGGTGGCTTGATTGTTGCTGGACATACAATGACTGGACATGATTCTTACAATCACTTACCCATTTTTCACTAAAGAAATGACCTCTACAATATAAAACTCTGACACTAGTCTCCAGGGCAGCAGAAAACAAGCTTGCTCCCTCCTCCCTATGACTTCCTCTCACATATTTATACATGGCTGTCATGTCTCCTCTCAGCCTTTTCTTCTTCAGGCTAAACATGCCCAGCTCTTTAAGCCACTCCTCACAGTGCTTGTTCTCCAGACCCTTGATCAWTTTAGGCGCCCTCCTCTGCACACATTCCAGCTTGTCAATATCTCTTCAATTGCGGTGCCCAGAATTGGACACAATATTCCAGGTGTGGTCTAACCAAGGCAGAATAGAGGAGTAGCATGACTTCCCTGGATCTAGACACTATACTCCTAGTGATGCAGGCCAAGATACCATTGGCTTTTTTTTATGCCACATCACATCTGCGTCTTTGCAGAGGGTTGGACTGGATGGCCCAGGAGGTCTCTTCCAACTCTTGGATTCTATGATACTGCAAAGTCTTACAAAACCATGAGGCTTTTGCTCACATGGTTAAACATTCGCAATTTGTAAAATCGAATTAACACAACAAAAAAGTCACACAAAATGTGAAGAGAAAACTAAGCATTTTTCAGATGTGACTGTTGGTTTGCTGGACTTGAATTGGTGAAATGATTAACAAAGGACAGGGCCAGTCCAGTTGGGGTTTGTTCCCATAGTAATCTTAAAACAAAGACTCTTGGTGAGTTAGACTATAAACCCCATCAACACATTCTCCTCAGTCAATGAGTGCCAAAGGCCATAGTAATTAGAGAGGACAGGGACTATATTCAAAGCTCTCCAAATAAGGAATTACCTTCCATGTAGGCTACATTAAGCCCATTGTACAGAAAAGATGATGGGAAAATGTGACGTGTGTGATCCCCAACATTCTGATTTCTTCTCCCCAAAATGTTTTGCATTCTTAAATCCAACAAAGAAGAAGTGGAATATCCCTGCCAGAAGTTTACAGGAGTAGCCGTGCACATTTTAAATAGGAAATTTGTGTGTTTGTGTGTGTGTGTCAGGAGCGACTTGAGAAACTGCAAGTCGCTTCTGGTGTGAGAGAATTGGCCATCTGCAAGAATGTTGCCCTGGGGATGCTCAGATGTTTTGATGTTTTACCATCTTTGTCGGAGGCTTCTCTCATGTTCCTGCATGAGGAGCTGGAGCTGACAGAGGGAGCTCAACCTGCTCTCCCCAGTTTCAAACCGCTGACCTGTCAGTCAGCAGTCCTGCCAACACAAGGGTTTAACCGATTGCGTCGAATAGTATCAGACTGAAAGACCATTGGGTTTGCTTCTAACTCTATGAATCACTGATCCTAACCAAAGCGTTGAACTTTTTTTTTGGGAGGGAGGGGGCTCAGATTCTGGCATTTTGGATAAAATCACTAATCCATCAAAGATATGAAAGTATTAAAGGGCAAGACAGAAGCCATACTATTTAAAACCAGGGTAAATCTAGAGATCCTGGGAAACAAATATGATTCTTCTGATAGTCACAAGAACAGGAAGATCACGACTGGCGTGGGACTACAGAAAGCTGATAATGTTGTGCCATGCTGGTGACACCGTGGACAGCAGGAGCAATGCTGATCTTCTCAGGTGGAACAGGTGAGGTGAGGGTAAACTTCTGGAGAATGGTGGTGAAGAAGAGGAAGAGCATCATGCGGGCCAGCCCCTCACCAATGCAGATACGTTTCCCTGCCAAAACGAAGTAAAAGCTGTAGAGCCAGGCAGAAATGTATTAAACAGAAGACTGATAGATGTTTGATCAAACTGGTCTCCTCTTGGTCAAGATCAGAAAACGTCAGGAAGATGCAACCGTATGAAGCTGGTCTGGTGGGTTTTATCTCGAAGCACACCAAGTGGTGCATGGAAATACCATATTTTCAACTATAACTCACCAAAATACACACAGTGTTCCTCGTGAAGGCGGATCTGGCCAGGGTGGTCCATGCCTTAGTCACCTCCAGATTGGACTACTGTAATGCACTCTATGTGAGGCTGTCCTTGAAAACAGCCCGGAAATTTCAATTAGTTCAACGGGCGGCGGCTAGGTTGTTAACTGGTGCTCCTTACAGGGAGCGGTCAATCCTCCTGTTTAAGGAGCTCCACTGGCTGCCGTTCATTTTCCGGTCCCAATTCAAGGTGCAGGTTCTTACCTACAAAGCCCTGAACCGTTTGGGACCCTCCTACCTGCATGACCGCATCTCTGTGTACGAACCCACACGATCCCTTCGATCTTCTAGAGAGGCCCTCCTCACGCTCCCACCTCCATCACAGGCACGATTGTGGGGACAAGGGAGAGGGCTTTCTCGGTGGTGGCCCCTTGACTTTGGAATTCACTCCCCAAGGACATCAGACATGCTCCAACCCTGACATACTTTAGGAGGAGCCTGAAAACGTGGTTGTTCCAGTGTGCCTTCCTAGAATAAGGAAACTCCCAGCAATATGTTCTCGAAATGCACTTTACTATTGATCTAGGAATGTCTGCACGCCCATCCCTCTCTGAAAACTCTATCTTAGTTCATATTTCATCTGTTCATACTCAGCATTATTCTTAAGTTTTAATTATTACATTTGGCCCTGCCATAGGTTTTAAATTTTGTTGTGTTATTGCTTTTGTTTATCATTTATTTTTTGTTATGAGTTTTGTTTTATTGTCTGTATTAATTGCTGTTATTGCTTTTATCATTGATGTATTGTGGGCTTGTATTGTGGGCTTGCCCTCATGTAAGCCGCACCAAGTCCCCCTTGGTAGCGGGGTATAAATAAAGATTATTATTATTATTATTATTATTATTATTATTATTATTATTATTTCCCTCACTTATCGCGGGTGTTACATTCCAGGACCACCCATGAAAAGAGAAAATCCGCAAAGTAGGGACACTATATATGTATATCGAGTTCCGAGGGTGAGGCAGAAGTGAGGAAAGATCTCTCTTCATTGGCTGCCTCCTCTCGAGGGGAAGGGTGAAATCCCCTTCCACACTCCATCATTGGCATGGGACGGGATTATAATGCCGCTCTGGGCAATGGCAACCATTCATAAATTGATAGGCAAAAACCCGCGAAGCAGCGAGTTTACAAAAAGCAAACCGCGAAGCAGCGAGGGAACACTGTACCTGGTAGCCAGAAATTGGGATCACCTTTGCTTTGAATCCATGATGGATTGAATCCATGCATCCTAAGATACCTTGGCCCCACCGTTACACAATGTAGCTCACAATGTATAATCAATCATGCCTGAAGTTAATTAAACCCCAAAGGCATTAATTAAGAACTATGTCTTGACTTGGCACAAAAAAAATGAAATCAACTTTGATGCCAATCAGACTTCCAATTAGAGTGCAACAGCAAAAATGTTGGCAAGTCAAGCCATCTCCCACCCTACCCTGAAACAACATACTCCACCATGCCATGCCATTCACACCCACATCAATCGCCACCGTTGTTCTAATACACACCTACTGAGAAAGGCATAAAAGCCTCCACTTTCTTAAGGCAACCGTTGCTGTCGAGGAATCTCCCAGGATCAAACTCTTCTGGGTTGGCATGATGCCGCTTGTCATAATGCACAGAGTTGAGCATGGGATAGATATAGGTTCCCTGGAAGAAAAGAAGTAAGAGGGAAGGGAGAAAAGAAGTGACCAACAGTGGTTTTTCGGGCTATATGACCATGTTCTAGAAGCATTCACACCTGATGTTTTGCCTGCATCTATGGCAGGCATCCTCAGAGGTTGTGAGGTCAAGTGACCAACAGTTGGAGATGAAGAAAACCAGAACAGCTGTGAGGCCATGCTTCCAAGCTTTTGTGGAAGTGGAGATTCATCACATTAAGATTTATCAATTCTTGCCAAAAGACACTGTGAGTTAGCCGTCAGGCACGATTGAGACATAAAATCATATATTAATAGTGTCAAGATTAATCGGTTTGCAAGCAATGTACAAGGGTTGAATGAAAAGAAATGCCTCCACCTTCGTTACTTGGGTTTGGATGGGAATATTTTAATAAATAATCCTTAGAATGTGCTCTTTAACTACCACTATTCACTTTTCCACATAATCATCAGACAATTGGATACATTTCTGTCAACAACGAACAAGCTTTCTGAAGCCATCACAGAAGAAGTCGACACTGTTTCCGCAACTCATCGTGCACTGATCTTCCGATAGCCAAGCAAAGCAACGTTCTTGTGAAATGCCAATTCTGCTTGAAATTTCTCTCTGAGTTACACAACGATCATCCTGAATCAATCTGTCAACCTTTTGCTTATGAAACTCGGTGGTTGCTGTCACAGGACGTCCAACTCTTTGTTTGTCACACAAGTCAGATGTTCCCTCCTCAACATCTTTAAACTTACTCGCCCAATGACGCACAGCACTCACATCAACACAATCACCATAAACAGCTTGCATTCTCTGATGAATCTCCTTTGGGGTGACACCTTCTGCTGTCGAGAATTCAATGACTGCACATTGCTTAAGTCGCATTGACTGACCGTCTGCGCAGGGTTCCATACTTCACACTGTAACAACACAACTGTTCAATGCTAAGGCTTCCTGCCAAAATGGAAATATAGAGAAGAGTCTACTGAACAAGCCAGTACCTGCAGCATACCAATACTGCCATTTGTTGAGGAGTTACAAAGGTGAAGGCATTACTTTTCATTCAACCCTCGTATTTGTCACTATCACAGCTCCAAATCCAAAAAGCTTGATGTACATACCCAGAGCTCTGTAAAGGTATATATCTCAGATCCAAAACTATTTAATTTAATTTGTTTAATTCTGCTGTTTTTTACCTGCTATCAGTTCCAGTGCTACTTCCTCCGCAATTCTTCCAAAGTATTTCAGCCATTAAAAAAAACATTCATATATTTATTTATTGTATCAGAAGCAAGGCGGGGGTACAATTGTAATGTATTTAAAAACACAAACAAAGTTTAAATGCTTGGTATTATACTAAATGTCCTTTGACCAGAAGCTGGACACTTCGAGGGCCTCTGCTGTGGCTGTGAAAAGGTCCTCCACTGTACATGTGGCAGGGCTCAGGTTGCATTGTAATAGGTGGTCTGTGGTTTGCTCTTTTCCGCATGTTATGGACTCCACTTTGTGCCCCCATTTCTTAAGGTTGGCTCTACATCTCGTGGTGCCAGAGCACAGTCTGTTCGGCACCTTCCAAGTCACCCAGTCTTCTATGTGCCCAGGGGGGAGTCTCTCATTTGGTATCAGCCATGGGTTGAGGTTCTGGGTTTTATCCTGCCACTTTTGGACTCTTGCTTGCTGAGGTGTTTCTGTGAGTGTGTCTGTAGATCTTAGAAAACTATTTCTTGATTTAAGGTGTTGGCATGCTGGCTGATATCTGAACAGGGGATGGGCCAGAGATGTCACTGCCTTAGTCCTTACATTATTGGCTGCTACTTCCCAGCGGATGTCAGGTGATGCAATACAGGCTAAACAGTATAATTACTCCAGTGGTGCACTGCATAAACATCTTGTGATAATGCGACATGTCTCCTTAAGAGCCACATCCACTGTTTCAACATGGTGAGATGTATTCCACACTGGGCAGGCATATTCAGAAGCACAGTAGCAAAGCACAAGCACAAATGTCTTCATTGTGTCTGGTTGTGATCCCAGGTTGTGCCAGTCACCTTTTGTATGATATTGTTTCTAGCACCCACTTATCCATATCATAAATATAGGAACATTTTCAAAAGGGAGGGGGGGAAAACAAAGAGTACAATGGTAGTAGGGAAAGGTAGTAGTGGAAGAGGACATTGAGAAAACCATCAGGCTGTGGAAGGCCAGATTATGCAATTTGAAGGTACATACAGAAAGGAAAGTGAAAAGGGCTGGATCCCTTAGCCACCATTCCTGGTCGGGATCATTCTAGGAATCTTACCTTAGGGATCACATATCCTCTGAAATGGGTGTCTTGAGTTACAAGGTGTGGCAGATTCATGGGTACCACATCAGCCATCCTCTGAATCTCATTCAACACAGCTTCAGTATATGGCATTTGACTCCTGTCCTTGAGAGTTGGCACTCGCCCTTGCCCCACCACATGATCGATTTCCTTATGGACTTTTTCTGGAGAAAGTGAGAAAAGATTAGGATGCCAAAATCAGGTGACCATATTTTCAATGCTTTCTTGACATTTTGATTCAGAACCAAAGTAGGACATCCGTAGGTGCTTATTTATAAGGCCATTATCCTCCCAACCCTGCTATGCGCCTGCGAAATGTGGACTGTCAACAGACGTCATATGCAACTCCTGGAACGATTCCATTCGCGCTGCCTCCGAAAAATCCTGCAAATCTCTTGGGAAGACAGGTGGACAAATGTCAGCATGCTGGAAGAAGCAAAGACCACCAGCACTGAAGCGATGGTCCTCTGCCATCAATTCCACTGGACTGGCCACGTTGTCCATATGCCCGATCAGCATCTCCCAAAACAGTTACTCTACTCTGAACTCAGTAATGGAAAACAGAATGTTGGTGGACAGTAAAAGAGATTTAAAGATGGGCTTAAAGCCAATCTCAAAAACTGTGACATAGACACCAAGAACTGGGAAACCCTGGCCGTTGAGTTTTTGGCTGATGAGATAAGATTGTTGTTGTGTGCTTTCAAGTAGTTTCAGACTAAGGTTGACCTTGAGCAAGGGCCAGGTAGATGACCTTGGAGGGCCGCATCCAGCCGCTGGGCCTTAGTTTGAGGACCCTTAGTCTAGATCCAGGGAAGTCATGCTAAGCCCTCTATTCTGCCTTGGTCAGACCACACCTGGAATTACACTGTGTCCAGTTCTGGGCGCTGCAACTGGGCGATGTTGACAAGCTGTAATGTGTCCAGAGAAGTGTAACTAAAATGATTAAGGGTCTGGAGATCAAGCTCTATGAGAAGCGGCTTAAAGAGCTGCGTATATTTTGCCTGCAGAAAAGAAGACTGAGAAGAGACATGATGAGGGCCATGTATAAATATGTGAAGGTAAGTCTTAGGGAGGAGGGAGCAAGCTTGTTTTCTGCTGCCCTGGAGACTAGGACACGGAACAAAAGCTTCAAACTACAAGAAAGGAGATTCCATCTGAACATTAGGAAGAACTTCCTGACTGTGAGAGCTGTTCAGCAGTGAAACTCTCTGCCCTGGAGTGTGATTGAGGCTCCTTCTTTGGAGGCTTTTAAACAGAGACTGGATGGCCATCTGTCTGGGGTGCTTTGAATGCGATTTTCCTGCTTCTTGGCAGAAAGGGGTTGGACTGAATGGCCCACGAGGTCTCTTCTAATTCTATGATTCTATGAATGTGTACAATATGTTAAATTTAGAGAAACAAATGGCTATAGTTTCATTTGATATATAGACTATTGGAAACTTTTAAATAGCTGCTTCATGATTATCTTCCTGCATGTTGTGGATTTCGGCTGTCTCGTATGGCTGTTTTTGGAAACCTGGCCAGTTAATGAACAAACACCCTCTTCATCCTCTACTCTTTCGTTCAATGATAAGCAGTGCACTCAGAATATCAAAATCCCTCATCAGTCTGATCTTGACTTCCAAAGTCCCTTAATCAGAGATCCTTACCTTGAACGTGGGGGTACTTCAGCAGGAAAAGAAAACCATATCTCAGGGTGGTAGTGGTTGTGTCAATCCCAGCAATTAGTAAATTCATTACGGACACGGACAAATTCTTCATGGAAAATTCTGAATTAGGGTTGTGCTTTTCCTACCAGGAATCAAGGTGAAAGGGGAACTGTCAGGCTTCATGTTCATTTTTTTATTGATTTATTTACTTATTTGCAGTATTTATATTCCTCCCCTCTCCCCCCGCAGGGGACTCGGGGCAGATTACAATGCACATATACATGGCAAACATCCAATGCCAATTAGACATACAACATATATAGACAGACACAGAGGCAATTTAACATTCCAGCTTTCATGGGGGCATGCTCGATTCTGACCACAGATGGAGCTGCTGCTTCACCGTCCATTTGTGACACCGAGTCCTTTGATAGAGTACTTCCTCATTCTTCTGCATGCTGCTGGAAGGTTTTATGGCATCATAAATTAGTTAAATTAGCCTCCCTTTATAAAGCGGGACCTAAATTTCCTACTTGCCAGATACAACTGTCTTTCGGGCTGCAAAGGTCGACAGCGAGCTAGACTATTAATGGTTGGGAGCTCATTCCAACCTGGGCTGCCTTCAAATTCATGTAGCTATTTAATGCAGCTGGCTATCACCTAGCTGCACCACAGCCCAGTCATTTCTGGTGCTCCTCCTAGCCCAGGTTAAGGATTTTATCACACAAGTCAGATAATGTATTGTCAAAGGCTTTCATGGCCGGAATCACTGGGTTGTTGTAGGTTTTTTTCGGGCTATAGGGCCATGTTCTAGAGGCATTTCTCCTGACGTTTCGCCTGCATCTATGGCAAGCATCCTCAGAGGTAGTGAGGTCTGTTGGAACTAGGAAAAAAGGTTTATATATCTGTGGAATGACCAGGGTGGGACAAAGGACTCTTGTCTGCTGGAGCTAGGTGTGAATGTTTCAACTGACCACCTTGATTAGCATTTGATGGCCTGGCTGTTGTTTGGTGTGGCTTGTTAGTGCCTGGGGCAATCTTTTGTTGAGAGGTGATTAGATGTCCCTGATTGTTTCCTCTCTGTTGTTTTGCTGTTGTAATTTTAGAGTTTTTTAATACTGGTAGCAAAGACATATAAATAGTACATATATTCATGAAACAACACTCTAGTTCAAGATTGGGAAAGGCTTATGGAAGCGTTGTATACTCTCACCCAATCTATTCAATTTGTATGCAGAACACATCATGCGATGTTCGGAGGCTCCTTCTATGGAGGCTTTTAAACAGAGGCTGGATGGCCATCTTTTGGGGGTGCTTTGAACACGATTGTCCTGCTTTTTGGCAGAGGGGTGGACTGGATGGCCCACAAGAGTCATTACCTGCTCCATCTTCACTATGAAACACTCGATGTAATTCTGAGGATCAGAAGCATCAAAGGAGGCCAGCTCAGTCTCGATCTTCTCCTTAATGAAGTCCAAAATCTTGAAGCCACTCTTTGCCATCTTCCACTGCATCCCGGGGATCTTAGCCATAATTTCTGGGAAGAGGTTGTACAACTGGGTTTTGCAGTAGGGAGGGAGATTGGGTGGGGGTCAGAAGAAGACATTAGACTTGCTTTATACCGTATCTCCCAAAGGTTCCCTCACTCAAGTCTATGGAAAGCTGTGGCCCCTTGACCTCTACAACAGGCTACTTTGCACATGCTCACAGGCAGTTAACATACCACTCAATCCATGGCTGTTCTGGTGCACTAAATACAAGTTATAGAGTTGCCTGCATCCAAAACGGTTTCAGTCCAACTTACCTATCCGAACATATCTCTCCTTACGAACCATCTAGGACACTAAGATTTTCTGGGGAGGCCCTGTTCTCGGTCCCGCTTTCCTCACAGATGCGTTTGGTGGGGAGGAGAGACAGGGCTTTCTCAGCGGTGGCCCCTCAACTGTGGAACGCCCTGCCTAGAGAGATAAGATGGGCCCCCTCCCTCTTGACTTTTCAAATAAAGGTGAAAACCTGGCTTTTCGATACGATATCATGGAACCACTTGATGACGCAACTGAATAATGACTTGATATGGAGAAGCTCATGATAATATTTTTAAGTCTTTGTACGGTTTTTATATTTTTATATTGTTTGTGTTTTAATAGTATTTTATGATTGTTTTGTTTGTTGTAATTGTTGTGACATCAAATTGTTGCCAATTGTTAACCGCTCCGAGTCACCCCTGGGCTGAGAGGGGTGGTATATAAATGTAGTAAATAATAAATAAATAAATAAATAAATAAATAGGAGCACTTATAGTCAACAATACTCACATATTTCTGAGACCAGGGTCAAACAGTGCAGAAAAAAATGGAAGTTTGTTCTTGTTACCTTTGCCATAGTTTTGGGGGAGTTGCTAGTTAGTTGTCGTTCTGTCATTAAGGTTTTCAGCCTGAGAAACTGCCCATCGCTGTACTCAAAGCGTTTCCCAAACAAGATGGAGCAGACAATATTGGCAACAGCCCAGCTGAGAAGCAACATTGGGTCAAAAAGATCTCCTGGAATGGAAAGAGGTTTAAGGGGGAGAAATCATTGGAGACATAATGTATATCTGCACTATAGATATTTACATCAGCTTTATATCAGTTTGAAATTGTAGTTTCCACCAAAGATTCCTGAGACTATTCTCATGTTCACTCTCTTTTGTTCATTTACTTCTTGCTGAAAATGCTTCCAAATGATGCCATTACAAAATCATGGTATTCCTGTGTCTTGCAAAACTACAACTCCCATGAGTCCTTAGCATTGAACCATGGCACTTAAATGATGTAAATGGCATTCAGAGTAATGTCTAGGGAGATACCTGATGGTAGCCTTTGTCCAGCCTGGAAGCTAAATAACTGCTATGCTAGCTTGCCTTGCTTAAGACTTAGCATTACCTGAATTATGGTGACCAGTGTGAAAGGGTCTTTGAGTGAAATTTGCAAATGCTAAGCAAGGGGCTTTGAATGAAATTAACAGCAAAAGAGAAATATACCCTTTCTCTGTAGAAAAAAAGCAACAGGGAAGAAAATGTTTTTAAGAAACAAGATGTGACATGTAGAGGTCATACAAAGTTGAAGCCTACATAGGAAGTAGTTGTGTTGTGGTTAAATTCAAAAGGTTGTTAAGCGCAGAGTCTGCAGGTACAAAAAGGCACTTTCCATCAAAAGGTCAAGGGAGAGGGGCTGGAAAGAGAGTACTTTCCATGACCTATTATTTGAGTATAAAAATCAGCAGAAAAAGAGGAGGGGTGCGGCAGTCACTTGAAGGGTAGCATCTGCGTATGCTGCCAGGCTGTCCATCTTCTTCATGAAGAAACTAAAATAAACCTTGTTTTTTTATCTTTTTTGGGGACTGTCTCCTTCCTTACGTGTTCCCGTGATGTGGACTTAAGAAGACCCAATTTAGGGTCTCCAACAAGTGTATGTTGGATACCACAGGCAGGATTCTATGAAGCCACAGGACAGAAAGAATATGAAGGCCTACCTTCAGTTTTGTTGAATTCCTCCACTAGGCACAGGGCTTCCTCCTTGATTTTCTCCTCTAGAGATCTTTTCCCCATGCCAAAGATCCTCAAAGTGCTGAGAGTAAATCGACGGAGTTGTTTCCATCGTTCCCCATTGGAAAACACAAGCCCTGGAGAAAAGAATATAGAAGGTCCTTGAAGGATCTCTAACAAGAGAGGAAAAGAATCCAAGGGGTTCACTAAAGACCTCATTTATTTATTTATTTATTTGCTACATTTTTATACTGCCCCTCTCTGCCCATAGGCGACTCGAGGCGGTTTACAATGCCAACAACATCATAAAAACATTAAAACATTAAAAAGCATTAACACCTCAATTAAAACCATAGCAGTAGTAAGAACAATCACTTCGTCTCCTAGATAAAAACATAATCCAAACTCATAGTCCAATTGTTCCATAATCCTATGTCTAATTACACTGCCTTTTCAAACGCCTGCTCAAATAGCCAGGTTTTGACTTTTTTTTCGGAAAGTCAAAAGGGAGGGGGCTGATCTAATGTCCCTAGGAAGGGCGTTCCATAGCCGAAGGGCCACCACTGAGAAGGCCCTGTCTCTCGTCCCCACCAAACATATTTGTGACGCAGATGGAGTCGAGAGCAGGGTCTCCCCAGACGATCTTAACGTCCTAGATGGTTCATAAGGGGAGATGCGTTCGGACAGGTAAGTTGGGCCAGAACCGTTTAAGGCAGTGGTTCTCAACCTTCCTAATGCTGCAATCCCTTAATACAATTCCTCATGTTGTAGTGACCCCCAACCATAAAATTATTTTTTTGCTACTTCATAACTGTAATTTTGCTACTGTTATGAATCATAATGTAAATATCTGATAGGAGGACTATAAGTATTTTCATTCACTGGACCAAATTTGGCATAAACACCCAATGCACCCAAATTTGAATACTGATGGAGTTGGGGGGGGGGGGGTATTGATTTTGTCATTTGGGAGTTATAGTTTCTGGGATTTCTAGTTCACTTACAATCAAAGAATATTCTGAACTCCACCAATGATGGAAGTGCACACAGAACTCCCATGACCAAGAGAAAATACTGGAAGGGTTTGGTGGACATTGACCTTGAGTTTTGGGGTTCTAGTTCACCTACATCCAGAGAGCACTGTGGACTCAAACAATGATAGATCTGGAGCAAACTTGGCATGAATACTCAATATGCCCAAATGTGAACACTGGTGGAGTTTGGGGGAAATAGAGCTTGGCATTTGGGAGTTGTAGTTGCTGGGATTTATAGTTCACCTACTATCAAAGAGCATTCTGAACCCCACCAACGACAGAATTGGGCCAAACTTTGCACACAGAACCCCATGACCAACAGAAAATACTGTTTTTTCTGATGGTCTTTGGTGACCCCTCTGACAACCTTTCGTGACCCCTCCCCCAAGGGTCCCGACCCCCAGGTTGAGAAATGCTGGTTTAGGGCTTTATAGGCTAAAGCCAGCACTTTGAATTCTGCCCGGTAGCAATCTGGCAGCCAGTGGAGTCGTATGCTCCCTGAGCGCCACTCCCATTACACCAGTTGAAGCTTCCGAACAGTCTTCAAAGGCAACTCCACATAGAGAGCGTTGCAGTAATCTATACGGGATGTAACCAGAGCGTGGACTACCATGGCCAATTTAGACTTCACAAGGTATGGGCGCAGCTGGCGCATAAGTTTTAACTGTGCAAATGCTCCCCTGGTCATTGCTGAGACCTGGGGTTCCAGGCTCAGTGATGAATCCAAAATCACACCCAAGCTGCGAACCTGCGTCTTCGGGGGGAGTTTTTTGTTTATTTGTTTGTTTTGTTTTTGTTTTGTTTTTTGTTTTTTTGTGTCAGGAGCAACTTGCACCACCGGGGGTTCCATTCAGGGGGAGTGTAACCCCATCCAACACAGGCTGTAACCCTATGCCCTGTTCGGCCTTGCGACTGACCATCACACTATAGCAGTGATTCCCAACCTTTGGGCCTCCAGGTGTTTTAGACTTCAACCCCCAGAAATTCCAGCCAGCTTACCAGCTGTTAGGAACTATGAAAGCTGAAATGCACAGTGGAACATCCAGATTCTTTTAACTCCTATAAAAATTTATTGGGGCTCCACAAGAAACTTTATCTCAAAAAGGAATCTGCAGTTGAAAAGGTTTGAGAACCCCTGGTTTACACCAATGAAAACAAGCTAAAGACAAAGGGGGAAAGTACAGAGAAGAGAAGGAAAGTGGGACATTTTTAAAGAAGCTAGAAAGTGGGATGGCAGAGGATTAATTGGGACCCTTCCTTCCACATTGGGACATTTTGGGGAGGTATAGTATGTTCTCACCATGTTCTTTGAGCAAGCTGGATAAGAGTGGGATTTGCCCACGTCCACCAAATGCTTCTGCATGATCCACCAAGCCCTCCTTCACAGCTTCATAGCCGCACAAAACCACAATCCGCTGAAGTCCCAGGTACACAGTGAATACTGGCCCATAAACTTCACTAACCTGCCAAGAAAAATACAGAGGTCTCCTAGAAGAAGCCACTTGCCCCAAAGGTCATGATACTTCTGGCAGATTTCATCTTAGAAATGTTGGAGTGTTGGACTGACTGTATGGTGAATGTACACCCATATAATGGAGTTTAATGGCACTAAACTTCATTATTTGAATCTACATTGGCCATACAATGCAGTTTCAAACTCCATGATATGGCAGTGTAGATCCAGCCTAAGAGAGGACATTAGATGACCATGGACAAGTCACATACTCTCTGACTCAGATGAAGGCAATGACAAACCCCTCTTGAACAAATTTCATCAAGATTGTAAACTAGAGGGCAGGGAAGTATACCATTATTCTTCATCTATGTGCAAGGATGGCACAATATAAATATATTATTTATTTATTTCATATCAAAAGCATTGCATAAAACTGATAAAAACAGAAGGAGCACAAGTGACTAAATATCTTTTGACCAAAAACGGGCAACAGCAGCGGCATTACTGTAGCCTCCAACAATTCTTCCTCTGTACATGAGACAGGGCATAATGGACAAGCATACAGATGCGGCGTTGTCTGTTCCGCTCCACAGTCACACAAGTGGCTTCAAACTACAAGAGAGGAGATTCCATCTGAACATGAGGAAGAACTTCCTGACTTTGAGAGCCGTTCAGCAGTGGAACTCTCTGCCCCGGAGTGTGGTGGAGGCTCCTTCTTTGGAAGCTTTTAAACAGAGGCTGGATGGCCATCTGTCAGGGGTGATTTGAATGCAATATTCCTGCTTCTTGGCAGGGGGTTGGACTGGATGGCCCATGAGGTCTCTTCCAACTCTTTGATTCTATGATTCTATGATTCTAAGTTGGGGAATTCTTTTAGGTAGTTCCATTTTGCCTGGTTGTCTTTTGATCTGCCCACTGCACTCCTGAGTCTGTTCAGGGACTTCCAAGTTGCCCATTCTTGGTTTGTCCCTGAAGGAAGACCCTCGTAGGGGGCCATCCAATTGGGATTTCCTGGTTTAGCTGCCCAGAGGGATACCCTTGCTGTTGCTGGAGGAACGTTAAGAGGAGTGGTGGTTCTCATTAAGCTTTTCCTTGATTTGAATCTACTGGGAGGAGGCTGGTAGCCATGTAGTGGATGGCTTTCACAGTGTTCAACCTTATTTCTCTCCCACTTAGCAGCAACCCTGTCACACATCGGGGGGGGGGGGGGGCAATGCCAGCTAGCTTGTAAAGTTATCAACAGGTCTAGGTTTGAGACATCCTGCGATTATCCTGCATGTTTTGTTCAGTGCTATGTTCACCTGCTTCACATAGGCAGACTTGTGCCAAACAGGGCAGGCACACTCAGCAATTGAGTAAGACAAGGCCAGGGCTGATGTTATTAATTTTGAGTCTGCACCCCATGTGCTGCCAGTAAGTTTCCGCAGGATGTTATTGCGTGCAGCTACTTTGTGCTTAGTGTTCATGTAGTGTTTCCTATACATTAATTTTCTATCTAAGGTGACACTGAGATATTTAGGATGGAAACAATATTCAAGCTCTTGACCTTCCCAGGTAACTTTCAATGGTTGCGTAGGTGGAAAGCACACACTTATATCATAGGTCCTTGGTTTCCACTAAGATTTGGATCCGCAGTGGATATTTGTTTATTTGTTTATTTATTTACTGTATTTGTATACCACCTTTCTCAGCCCGTAGGCAACTCAAGGTGGTTAACAGGAAAAATTCAATGCTTACAATGTCATAAATACAATTAAAAATGTAACCTATAATAAAAGCTAAACAAATCAATAAAATATACATTCATAGTGTCTCCTTGTTAAAAACATTGTCCAGACTCATTGTCTAGTTGTTCCATTTTCCTATGTTAGTTACTCTGCATTTGGAACACTTATTCAAAAAGCTACGTCTTGACTTTTTTCCGAAATGTTAAAAGGGAGGTGGCCGAGCTAATATCTATAAGGAGGGCATTCCACAGCCGAGGGGCCAGAGAAGGCCCTGTCTTGTGACAAAGGCGGTAACAAGAGCAGGGCCTCCCCAGATGATCTTAACGTCCTATATGGTTCATAAGGGGAGATGCGTTTGGACATGCAAGTTGGGCCAGAACCATTTAGGGTTTTATAGACTAAAGCCAGCACTTTGAATTGGGCCCGGAAGCAAACTGACAGCCAGTGGAGCTGGCGGAATAGAGGGGTTGTATGCTCCCTGAGTGCCGCTCCTGTTAGTAATCTGGCTGCCATTCATTGAACCATTTGAAACTTCCAAACAGTCTTCAAAGGCAACCCCATGTAGAGCAGTAGTCTATACAGGATGTAACCAGAGTGTGGCCAAATCAGACTTCTCAAGATACGGGTGCAGCTGGCGCACAAGTTTTAACTGTGTAAATCAGGGGTCCTCAATTTTTTTTAAACTGGGGGCCAGTTCACTATCTCTCAGACCGTTGGAGGGCCGGACTATAGTTTTTTAAAAAAAATCAATTAAAAAATTTCCTATGCACATTGCACATATCTTATTTTGCTGTGTGGAAGGGCCCTCAGAGGGGGTTCTTTCTAGCCCTCTTTAGGCAGTAATTCCAGGAGCAGAGAATGGGAAATCTTCCTATTTCTAGTCTGAACAAAATCTGGCTACCAGTATTAAAAAAAAACTCTAAAATTATAACTGTAAATAAAGTACAACACTCAAACACAGGGGAACTCCAGACAAGAAACAATCAGGGCCTACTAATCGCCTCTCAACAAAGGATTCTCCCTAAAATCTGTCAGGCTATGAAATGGTAATCAAGGTGGCCAATTGAAACATTCATACCTATCTCCAACAGACAAGAGTTCTTTCTCCCACCCTGGATCTTCCACAATTTTCCTAGTTAAAGGTTTTCCTCTGACATGAAGTCCAGTTGTGTCTGACTCTGGGGTGTGGTGCTCATCTGCATTTCTAAGTCGAAGAGCCAGCGTTGTCCGTAGACACCTCCAAGGTCATGTGGCCGGCATGACTGCATGGAGCGCCGGGGCAGCCTCCCTTGGCTGGCTCACGCTGCCCATCGGGCCTGACGGATAGCGTGAGCCTGCCAAGGGAGGAGCAGCCCCGCGCGGCCTACTCGCACGTAAAGCACCTCGTGAGGTGCTTTACGCGGAGTAGACCACGCGGAGCAGCCTCCCTTGGGTGGCTCATGCTGCCCGTGGGGCCTGACGGATAGCGTGAGCCAGCCAAGGGAGGGGCACTGTGTGTGGGGGGGGGGCGCTCCTCCTCCGCGGGCCAGATAAGTGCCCTTGGCGGGCCAGAAGTGGCCTGCGGGCCATAGTTTGGGGACCCCTGGTGTAAATGCTCCCCTGGTCACTGCCGAAACCTGGGGTTCCAGGCTCAATGATGAATCCAGGATCACACCCAAGCTGCGAACCTGCGTCTTCAGGGGGAGTGTAACCCTGTCTAACACAGATTGTAACCCTATCCCCTGCTTGGCCTTTCGACTGACCAGGAGTACCTCTGTCTTGTCTGGATTCAGTTTCAATTTGTTTGCCATTATCCAGATCGTCACAACGGCCAAGCATTGGTTCAGGACCTGAACAGCCTCCTTAGTAGCAGGTGGAATGAAGCAATAGAGTTGGACATCATCTGCGTACAGGTGACATCGCTCCCCAAAACTCCGGATGATCTCCCCCAGCAACTTCATGTAGATGTTAAACAACATGGAAAACAATATTGAACCCTGAGGATCCCCACAAGACAATGGTTGTGGGGTTAAACTGGAGTCCCCCAGTAACACCTTCTGGGTGCAACCTTCCAGAAAGGCCTGGAGCCACTGTAGAAGAGTGCCTCCCAGGCCCATTCCAGCAAGGTGTCCCAGAAGAATATCATGGTCAACAGTATTGAAGGCCGCTGAGAGGTCTAGGAGAAAAAACAGGATACCAAACATCAGGGGTGCTCAAATCCCATGATACACAATAAAACGGCACTCCTTCTATAAATGGCAAACAACTCAAATAAGTGTTGGTATTCTGTAAAATCTACTATAGCAGGATATGCTTAGACATCCATGTAGAGTTCAGCATGAAGCAAAATCAAAGTTTACTTTCTGAAATATTTTCCCAAATATTTTCAAAATGTGGCTGGTTGAATGCATGGGTGCAGAACCTGTAGATACTGAAGGCCAACTATAATAATGATGAGAAGAAAAGTCAATGATAGGTTTGCCATAGAGTCGCCATAAATTGAAAATGACTTAAAGGCTCGTGCCAATAATGCTATGGTGTGAGATAAGTGGTTGAACCCCTTGGATGTACCCTCTTCCCCTTAGTCTCAGACCTGCCCTCTTCCCCTTAGTCTCAGAGAAGAATTGGCTTTAGTCCACCACCATCCCATAACCCGAGAAGAGAAAAATGGAAAAATCAAGACTCACCTTGGTCAAGGACTTCAACAGATTCTCTTGGTCCAGTTGTAGAAAATTCCCCAGGATAGGAATTGGGGAGGGTCCAGGGGGCAGGAGAGCTTTGACTCTTCTGCTCTTCCATGACAAGAGAAGGATGCAACCAATGCAGAGAAACACAAGGAGAAATATAGTGACCATGGGAATCTTTGGAGTGTTACCTTTTCAGCAACAGATTTATCTTGACATTTGGAAAGTTTGCAAGGCTAATGTCTGGGTTTATAATCCCAGGTCTGAAACTCTTTGTCCAAGGGCTATCCTATAACTCCTTCCTTCATGAGATGTCTGCTGCTTCTTCTCCCTCCTTATGAAACCAACGGAAGGATTCTGATCATCTCTTTACTATAAAAAAAATTGTCCCTGACCTTTGTGAGTTAGATAGAACCTTACAAACAAAGCCAATCTTAATGCAACAATTGCCTAATGCAACAAAGGAAAGGCTCTTTGTAAAGGGAACATGGTCTTATACCCATCAGCATTTAGCCAGGACCATGTGATTACGCAACATCAGAGTATGGTCCAGATGACAAACATTATTAAGGAGACGAGCTTGATAGGAGAGATAGGAGGAGACTTTAGCAGTTTGCTTTTCTCTTCTCTCTGCGAGGGTTCCTGACATCCAACTACTTTTGATCTTTGAAATCATTTTGCAGGGATGGAAGAAAGCCGAGGACAAGCAGGAAAAGAGAAAGAATGGAAGAGAAACAGACATTTTAAAATCAATTGGAAAAGTAAAGCGACAGAATAAATGAAAAATATCCCTGCAAAATTAGAACACTTGGGGGAGCTGGGAATCTCATAGAATCAGAGTTGGAAGAGACCTCATGGGCCATCCAGTCCAACCCCATTCTGCCAAGAAGCAGGAAAATTGCATTCAAAGCACCCCCAACAGATGGCCAGTCACCCAACCTCTGTTTAAAAGCTTCCAAAGAAAGGAGCCCTCACCACACTCCAGGGCAGAGAGTTCCACTGCTGAACAGCTCCCACAGTCAGGAAGTTCTTCCTAATGTTCAGATGGAATCTCCTTTCTTGTTTTTTGAAGCCATGGTTCCATGTCCTAGTCTCAAGGGCAGCAGGAAACAAGCTTGCTCCCTCCTCCCTATGACTTCTTTTCACATATTTATACATGGCCCTCATCATGTCTCCTCTTAGCCTTCTTTTCTTCAGGCTAAACATGCCCAGCTCTTTAAGCTGCTCCTCATAGGGCTTGTTCTCCAGACCCTTGAATTTAGTTGCCCTCCTCTGGACACATTCCAGCTTGTCAATATCTCTCTTCAATTGTGGTGCCCAGAATTGGACACAATATTCCAGGTGTGGTCTAACCAAGGCAGAATAGAGGGGTAGCATGACTTCCCTGGATCTAGACACTATGCTCCTATTGATGCAGGCCAAAATCCCATTGGCTTTTTTTGCTGCCGCATCACATTGTTGGTTCATGTTTAACTTCCTGTCCACGAGGACTCCAAGATCTTTTTCACATGTACTGCTCTTGAGCCATGCGTCCCCCATTCTGTGTCTTTGCATTTCATTTTTTCTGCCTAAGTGGAGTATCTTGCATTTGTCCCTGTTGAACTTCATTTTGTTAGTTTTGGCCCATCATCTCTCTAATCTGTTAAGATCGTTTTGAATTCTGCTCCTGTCTTCTGGAGTATTGGCTCTCCCTCCCAATTTGGTGTTGTCTGCAAACTTGATGACCCTTCATCTAAGTCATTTATAAAAATGTTGAACAGGACCGGGCCCAGGACAGAACCTTGCTGATGGCACTCCGCTCGTCACTTCTTTCCAGGATGAATCAGAAGAATTGTAAAAAAATTCCCCAGGGTTGTGCCTGAAGCTACAGAACTTAAAGTGGTGTTGAAGGCTTTCACGGCCGTAATCATTGGGGTGTTGTATGGTTTCCGGGCTGTATGACTGTGTTCTAGCAGCATTTTCTCCTCACCTTTCACCTGTGTCTGTGGCTGGTATCAAGAGTCTTTCTTTAATTGGCCGTCTGGGCAGGGGCAAACAATCCCACCGCTGCCCCACCAATTATCAAGGTCTTTAGAGGTATGGGTGATAAATCAATATCCCACCTCTGACACTACCAATTATAATAACTCAAAAGAGGCTTTTGTAGGGTTTGAGGGGATGTCACGTTGTGTAAAACTTTCGCTGCCACCAAACTAAAGAAATCACGAACCCTCTAGCTATTAGTCTGTTAATAGGCTGTTTAGTATTACCACAAGGCTTTTTTACTCCACCATTAAAAATACTGTTGTATTAACAAGGCTTTCTCTGAGGGGAAAACAGGAGAGGTTGATTTAAAAAGAAAGGGACTCAAAAGCAAAAATAGCACTTGACTCAGGCTTTAAGTTTAAAAATAATAAGAAAGAGTTTATTGATTACAATTACTGAATAACACGAGAATGCAGGTACTGAGGCTTGATGGTTACAGAATAAAAGTGTTCTTGTTTCTTATAAGCGTATTGGTTTCTAGAGAGAATGTTCTTTCTTAGTTACAGTTTCAATAAACACAGAACCCAGCTATTTTTCCTCAAAAGTAGCTGTAATCTCAGTCTGTCACAGCCTACTGTGCTGTACAGACTAAAGGCAAACTGCCTGTTTTAAACAGAGACTCCTAAACAATCCAACTTCTACACTAATCTCTCTCTCAGAACTCAAACTGCTCTCTACTCTTCTCAGAACTCAGCTGAACTAACTCTAAAACTGTCAAATCTCACTGTTCTCTTTCCCTCCTTCTGCCTAACTCCGCCCCTATTCTCTAAACCAATCCTAGCTGTTGCTGGGCTGGCACAGGCCTCAGCCACTCCCCCTTCTGCCCTGGAGCTTTTCCCTACTCTAAAATGGCTCCAGCAGCACTCTGCCAGGCCTTCCAAGCTAAACTACCTAGCCTGACTTTCTCCTGGGGCCCTGCCACCCTGGATGGCAAGGTAAGGGATCTTTACAGACTGCATGTACATAAAATGATTTAATGAAAGACCCTCCCCATAAATGGACAGCAGAGTAACTTATTCGCAGCAGCGTGACCCAGCACCAGTAGGCAAAAGGGATAAAAAGAACAAAAACACACAGACCAATGTTATGTCTAACAGGCTTCGGTCTACTCGCTCTCCTCAGGACAACACTAGCTTTGGCCCACTGACTCTTTCTCACACTTTGTAAAACCCAGTTAATTTTTTAATATTTCTGACACACCTTCTATTTTTTATTACAAAAAAATCCCAAATTTAAAGCATACATATTTCTGACAGTATGTGGGCCCTGTCAAGATTGGTGGGTGTTCGCAGCTTTTCTGTGGCTGCAGAAGACATGTTTTGTGGCATTGCAACAAATAACTTGCCTGTTATTCAAAGTCTTTCAATAAACATTGCTGCAAGGAGTACATAAAGAATCCCAACAATACTAAACTGAAATAAATGGGTGTGCACTAGGAACATAAGGGTGGTTTTCTAAGTAAATCTGTAGCACTTCTAAAAGTAGTACATATTTTTGGAAATGTTCTCGGGCCACCGTTAGGGTAGACTCCCTTCTGGTGCTTTTGAGGAATGCGACATCCAATGACATGGTAAGGGGATCTAGTAATGTCTTTATTTTGAGATGAAATTAGAAGCCAGTGACTAGTTTGTTTTGTCTGATAATACCTGTAATTAGTGTACAAAGTAACAAGGTGGATCTCAAGTATTTGCTCTTTCATGAGTATTGAGGGACAGTTTATGGGAAGAAAATTATGAGAGGAATGGTGTCAGGGAACAGCTGTCTGGGAGGATTCTGAATTGGAAATGACATGTTGTTGTTGTTCATTCGTTCAGTCGTCTCCGACTCTTCGTGACCTCACGGACCAGCCCACGCCAGAGC